GTTTTCTGTTTGTTTGGGTTTTTATGTTGTTTTGGGGGTTAATGGACTTTTTTTGGGGTTTGCGTGTGTGGTTTTTTCTTTTTAAATAACACATATTAACACTAAGTGACAGTACAAGGAAACACAACCTATTTAGAAAAAAGAGCAGCATGTTGGTGCACAACTTCATGGAGTTCAAACTCAAAATGATGAGTAGCCTCAAGAAAGAAAGAGGGGGATCAAGACACTCCTCATATCTGTGTTACTTGGAAAGGAAACTTCCAAGGAACTGAGAATTCTTCCTAATAAAGAAACTGAAGCAGTACTTCCTGCTTCAGCAACAATATCACGGGGAGAAATCACCTTGATTAGATGCCTTTCAAGAAAAGAGAATTTGCCCCTAAGTGACTTGTTCCAAAAAGCCTTATTTCTAAAATCTCCCCTCTTACAGTGATTACCTTCAAGTAGAAAAATTATTCCCAGATTTTTTATAATACCAAGATCTCAGTCTCATGACTGCTCAAACATGAGCTAAGTCTAGCAGCTAATGGAAAAGATAAAAGTGTATTGTATATTTATTTTTAGAGAGTAAAAAGTTTTCAGTTCACATTTCAGAGCTTTTTTCCACATCCAAAAACAACAGAAGGAAATAAGAACTGCTCTCATCAGTATTCTGCAAAAACCAAGACAAAAGAGGCCATTGGAAGATGGACCAGTATCGCCAGAAACAGCTGTTTCACAAGCCAACAGCTCAATGGGCTTAGCAAATGAGAATGCCCTGCATGTAGCATTTTCTTTATGTAATTCCCCATTGCTTTGAATCCAAATATAAAGACTGAAATCCCGTGTGCCATGAATTGAATAGGGCAAGGATTTCTCCCTAAGGAGAGGTATTTAGATAGCATGCTGAAGAGGGCTTACTGTATAGAACAAAAGCTCTCTCCTTTGCCTTTTGGAAAAGGATGAAGAAATTTTGCATAGTAGGTTACCTAAGACCTGACCTGGATGCTCAATGGGAATTACAATTGCTGTAATAGTATTCATTATCTATTGATTCTTTAGCACTAAGTCTGGGTCATCAACCAGCTTTCTCCCTTCTATATAAAACTTACACAATACAAATGACAATCCAAATAATTCTTTGTATGAAATATTTTAGATTATAAATTGCATATAGAAAAAATCATGGATTGCAAATGTAAAAATTAACATTTTATATGTATTCTCTTTCTTACCTTTTATAAAGGTGCAGACTACAGACATTACTTCAAGTCTGTGTTTCTACTATATAGTATTTAATGAAAATGAAATGTTTGAGCCCAGGGATAATTGCTTTATATATTTTTGAGAGAGAAAAATCCAAGAAAGTGAACAATATTAAACCCTAAGATTCAGATTTAAGAAGCTACTTAATCAGATATTTAATTTAAACAGACATGAACATTATTAATTTTTTAATCTGAAGAGTCTATATAATTACTTGACCACTGCCTACAGCCAGGAAAGCCTGAATATTTAAATGCTTAGTAACACTTCTGGAGTCAGGCATATAATTAAGAATATTTTTAAAGCAGAGTCTGCTACTATAAAGGCTGCTGTGAATTTCCTTTAATGTACAAAAATAGGTCCAAATTTGGGTCTGTATCCTATGTTGGGACAACAGAGGGCAATGCTATAATTAATGTACAAATGTAATGTTTGCAAGAATTCCTGTCTCCCCCTCCCCCCAATTCCTCATCCAAACAAAGAAAAGAAAGAGGAAAGGGTATTGTGCCACCAAATATGATTTGTGATGGCCTCCAACATGTGAGTGACGGAGCAGAACGAGGACTCGGCTCTTCTGGCCCCCAGTCAAGGGCTCTATCCTCTGCATCAAATGATCCCCCTGATAAATGTGGCTACATTCAGCTGTCTTGAGAGAAAACAAAATCCTTGCTATTTCATTCAATGCTATTGAATAGCATTGAAATGCTATTTCATTCCCACCTAAAAACCAAAAACCTTCTGTATTTTTAGAAGTTTGAAATGCAAAGGTAAAGCTTAGCTCTAGGGCTGAGCTGGGATGAGAGGAGATGGAAATCACTACTCACAAGCCAGAAGGAATTGACTCACAAATAAGTTGAAAGAAATACATAAGACTTGAGGCATGAGGAGTGTTATTACAGCAGAAGTGCTACTTGAGATGGATTATCTTTGAGAAGTTGTGATTTTTTTTGTCTAAAATGTTGCTTGGCATTCTTGTCTGAACATTCAGCAAATGCGTTAGGTAATCCTCAGGTGCAATAGCCAGGTTTAGGGAAAGGACAAAGTGTGTCAGCTGGATCTTTGAATTCTTTTGCCTTCAGAGAGTCAAGTCTTACGTGTTACTTGAGAATTCTTTCTGGCACCGAGTTAACACATATATGGTCCCAATGTAGCATTAATCTGCTGCCATCCTGGCACACTGCTAGCACTGCAGAACCCTGCTGTAAATGAGGCTGCCGTGAACAGCCAGAGTTTTTAAAGGTAAGAGCTCTTTCTATTGGCTCCTCAGGAAGGAGATCTCACTGGGGCACACAAAGAGGTCATCCGTGGAGGCTACTGCTGTGAAAAGCCCCAAAGCTTGAATTGGAGCTCCTGGGGAGCTCTGCTGATTATGCTGTAGTTAAATAGGCAGGGAGACCACTATTTGCTGAACACCTTACCTATCAGAGCTGCTATCAGTCCCATACAAGTTAATTACAGCATGTTATGTTACAGTGTTTACCAAGCGCTATTGACTCTGCTAAGAAAACTGAATCAGAGAGTGTGATATGGTCCAGTCTTCCTCTGTCAATAACCAGCACCAGCCTATGTGAGAATATAAAACTTCCCAGTCCAATGACATTCGCTCAGACCATCCTAGAAGATAAGCTCAACTACACACTGGAGGAAAAAAAATACAATTTTAAACTTGGAGAGTAAAATAACCTCACTAGAATGACAGTGAATTGTTCCCATGTGGTAAAACTTCACCACTAGGAGTCGTGTGTCTCGGGTCCTTGCACAGCTTTGGATCTGCCGACAGACAGATGTTTGAACTGAGACTGAATGCAGGTGTGTCTCTGTGCCTCTTCAATGGGAAATAAGACAACTCAGCTTCATCTGTCATTAATTTGGGTAACAATGTGTAGAAAAACCGAGAAAGAACTGTAAAGAGATGCAGGGACATGATTTTCCTTGGAGCAAAGACATGATAATGCAGCAGTCTGTGAGCTCAATTCTACACAGTATTCTGGCAGTGACAAGAAGGAAGCTGTTCAGCAGGAACTGCCTCTCTAGTTAAAGATGATGCACTAGCATCTCAGACAAGTGTATTTAAGCCTTAGCTGCACACTCAAATTTCTATTCATTAAATGTATAAAAGGACACACAAACACAGTCTCAAGTCAGCAAGTGAACCTACCCACCTTAAAAAGTTAAAAGCATGATATAACCTGTTCCCCAATGGTAATAACTTCTTCCCTGTAAGGTCTGGTACTCAGTTTATCTCATACACATTTACCATTCAGTTCAAACAAGCTTTTGGATAGAAATTCCTATAACCCTTTCCAGTCTTGCATCCTTAAACAAACTCCTGCCATGATGGGCTGTCTTTCAGGGTACAGCCTCACTTGGCACCATAGCCCTTGTATGCAGCTGCAGCATGCAATATAGAGCATCTCACCTAGACATTACCAGAGTTCATGCAACTGAGTCAATGGGCTTGGGGCAAACGAGCAAAGCTTATGCAAATGCTTAAAATTAAACATGAGCTCAAGTACTTTACTAAAGTCAGGGCCTTTATCAGGAATGATAAATGTGAAAAACGTAGAAAGTAAGGCAAGTCCACTGAAGGGTTGAAGACACAAGAAAATACTTCTCAGACATCGGGCAAAGTATTTGCATACATTACAGTGGCCTTTGGATTGTGAGGATCAATACTTTTATAAGGCACATTATTGGACAAAAAAGCAAAATCATGGGGATGTGCCTTTAAGATAAATACAACAGCTGGTCTCACAAAGGTAATTTATTTGCAATTAACTTATATTTCTGAGGCCAGCTTTCAAAATAATGCCTGCACTGAACCTTACCTGTGAACTTTACAACCAAAACTTGGACTCTGATTTTGTGAAGACACCCTTCTAACTTTGTAAGTGGTAGCATAATTAAAGCCCTGATAAACAGATAAATCCATAAAGGCATGGAAGAATTGATATTTTTTCAAGTTACCTGTGGTTTCTAAATAACACATGAAGTGAACACGGGCATTATCTCAGTGGATATGACAAACCCCATCAGCAAAGGTAATTATTAACCACCCATTTACTCCAATTGCTAATGCAGTGGAAGACCACGGTTGGAAGTATCAGGGTGACAAATTGAAGTGAGGCCTCCTAGTGGAGCTGGGAATCTGGACTCAGATTGTCTGACATGTAAAACAATGAGTACATACGTGCCGACAGTGTGCAGCATTCCAACAGAATCTAGCGCGTCTCGGGGCCATCCATATGCTCCACCATATGTCTGTGAGGAAAGGGGTCCAGAATCACAGTCTCTGGAAAGGGTAGGTCTCCCAGGCTCTCAAGATACCAGCCAGGATCCCAGTGTTGCTGTATTCATTGGTGTGTAAGCACCTGTATTCCCGCCAACAAACTACTGATTTCAGCTCAGAGGGTAAATATGTAACATAACCAACTGTTTGCTTATTCAGAAGCTGGCTCTCACAGGACAAGTTCTACTGGGGAAGAAAAGGTTGCTCTGGGCTGTGTTTCTTCAGAGCCAATCCAGCCTCTGTATTAACCACAAAAAGCTGCAGCAACAGAGATGTTACCGTGTACAACAGCAGTACTGCTGAGCACATAGAAACAGACTGGAATTTAATAGCCTAGCAAGGGGGAATAGAAGTTTCAACTCACTCAGTAGATGACAGGTTGCTTTATTTTGCCTTCTATTTTGCTTTTCACTTATATTTTCCAGGAGGCAATTAGCTACCATGTATTTTCACATTCCAGTCCTACCTTATCACTGTCCACTGTGTTCTGTGACGTCCTGGATGCAATGGAAATGGTGTCAGGTTGACTGCTGCCATCCCCTTGGCTGTCTGCATCATCTATTCCATCTCTGCAAGAGACATAATAGGGGACCAATGACGCTTACTGAACACTCCACCTTGGAATGTGCACAGCTTTACAGGTGGATTTGAGAAGAGCAGCGTCAGCGGGACAGAGCTGGCTTTGTGCCACAATTACCTCACTAATGCAGCCCATGATGCTATTTAACTGCAATTTAAAATGATGTCACCCTTAGCCATAGGGTTGGGATTAGCACATAATCACAACATTTGTTGCTGGAAACAGGATGGCCATTGCCTGCATATTGACAGCATAGAAGACTCTGGCATTCAGAAATATCTGTGTAATGAAGGTGTCAGGCAGAAATCTTCCTTCAATTAGATTTCTGCCCTAACCAAAAGCATTCAGCCTAGTTTACATGTAACACTGAAGGAAAGGGCATTTCTCTTGCCTCACAGGAACCACATCTTCAGAAATTTAATACTGCATATTTAAAATTTAAGTTTGGAGAGCCTTAAATATGCTATCCAAACAAACATAAAGACAGTGTAGAGGGTCTACAAATTTACCTCTAAGAGGCTGATAAGAGGGTATTTTCTTCTGTTTTGCTGTATAGATAAACTTCTAAATTTTTACTGGTCTTTCAAATGAAACATTTAAATAATCCAAAATACATATTTAAGGACAAAGAAAATAAAGGATCTCCATTCGGTACTAGAAAACTCTTGTATTGGTGCCTGTTCCAAGGAAGAAATGTCTGGATCTCTGCCTTGGTACAGGTCTCCTGGGTGACCTTGGATACTTAAGCTTTGGATGTCTCTATAATACATACTGAAGTAAGAGAGGCATAAAACTTGTGAGGAAATAGAGGCGCTCAAATTACAGGTGGCTTTTGGGAATGCCACAACAGAGAAAGAACAATTCATTTTGTCTAATTTCTATTTAATCCAGGATTGAAAGAAGTCGACAAGAAAAATTAGTATTACTTCACAGGCTGAAATGAGTTTGTATTTGATGATGAAAACAGATCCTTCACTGTAATAATTTACTGTCATGATCAACTAGGATTTTCATTTCAAACAATTAAAAATGCCAAACGGGGAAAAAATTCTGGTTTTATTCAAATGTGAAGAAGTAAAATCTACTTTAGGAAAGAAACATAACCTTGGACTCGGAAGAATGTTTACTGTTTGTTTCTCTCTAATACTTTGGAGTGTAGTACAATAAAAGATCTTTGCACATAGAAAAGCTTTCTAGCTACGTTTGCCAAGACAACATATAAAAAGAAAAGACAATGAAAACTGTTTTGACTACAGGAAAAAGCCCACAAACACTACACTGCTGTGGGTTGAGAAAACACTAATGATTTCATGTTATAGGGAATGGTTGAGGTTACCTTCTACTGTTGTTTCGCTGCTTTGCTGGTGTCTTGGGGAGCTGAATTGGCTCTTTCAGAGCTCCCTTCAGATGAATAATCCTTTCTTGAATAACTTCCCGGATATTTTTGATCCATTCCTGTTTTGTTTCAATACTGGATGCCTAAAGTTCCACAAGGCAGAAAGACAGAGACTTTATCATGTTCTCAGGATGTCACCTCCTGTGTAAAAGAATCGTGGTTGGCTGATGAAAATGCATGATTACCTGTTTGTCCTCTCTGCTGTACTGGATTACCTGGTAGCCCCCAGAGAACTGAGAACATTTTTACCAGACCTACTTGGCAAGCAGCAGCAAAGCAGCTAAGCTCTGGATAAATATATTTAATGCTAAGCAATACAGCATGGTCTGTAGAGGGGAAATAGGTCATCAGTGCACAAATGGGATTTCCCCAGACAAAACAACCATAAGATGAATTCTTCATTAGAAACTCACTTGACAGAAAAGGCTGTCAGCTCTGGAGGTTTGAGGAATGGGTGACTGTTGATATGCCCAGTGGCAAAGGACTAAGAGAATTACACCTCTCAGCCAAACACCCTGAGACGTGCCCTGTGTCAGTGTGCAACTACTCAACCCAGGCTGCAAGAGGAGATGCAATTCCAGCAAGGCTGCACAACCACATTTCCAATTCCAACTGGAGCCTTAGAGCTGAAGTGCTCCTGATGCTGGCGTGACCCCACTGACAGACACGGAAGCCAAGGGAATATGAGGAAGGAAGAAACTGTCCTCTCATGTAGTGTTCCCAAGGCCTGAACTAGAAGCTCTAAAGGCAAAGAAAACAAACAGAAAAGACTTACTTTCAGCACTGTTTTATTGTCTGAGGATGGTGTTCGTCCAGACCACAAAGCAAATTTGCAGGGATCTCCTTCAACATGTTCAGTCACTCCCAGTTCTGAGGTCTAGTGTGAAGGAAAGATGATGAGAGATTTCATATATATAAAGCTTCATGAGTCCAGAAAACTTCGGACTTGTAGGAAGAAGTGGGGTGGCTGGGATGGGTAAGGGAATGAGATCTTATCTCTGCTTTGCTACACATAGATAAAAGAGACAGAAGACCACTGGGGATGGCAGGGAATTGAATGGCTTGAGTGATCCTGCTTGCATTTCCCACCCATCCTTCACATCTCACTATCTTAAAACTCTCCAGATTCGCTGCAAGCTGACTTCCAGGTGAGCCCTGCAGGACTGAGAGCCAGCCCTTCCAGGTGGCATTAATATCCCAAACCCAGCATGGGGACTTCAGAGCCATCTACCAAACTCCACCTCTACCTACAAGAAACACAACACCCAGAATGTTTTCTTTGCAGCCACACCTACCAGTAACTTGTTCTTGTAAACATATTTTGTGTGTCCTGAAGAATCTTTGATCTCTTTGCTAAACACCAAAGAGATTTCAAAGAGAAACAAATGCCTCTCACGGCCTTTCCGAATGAGAGACTTGGGATCCCACACTTGGAAGGAATCCTGAAGAATCAGCTCTCCCTGGACGTCCAGGTTCTCATCAAACCCTAAAACCACAAAACAGATTGGCTTTTATTTATTCTTAGGACCAGCAATTCCCAGAAACACCAGAGCAGTAAGGACTTGAAATAAAACAGTCTTTTTCTTTTTTTACACATATCCTGAAAGGACTTTATTGGCACCCACTGCCCCAGTGAAAATATTTTTCTTTTTCCCTTTATTTTTTCCCTACTGCAATGATGTAAGTATTTCGCCAGAGGCAAATATATCATATGTGCTAAATGAGACTGCTGCTAAACTGTAGTAGGAATTACTTAAAAACAAACATTATGAAGGTTTCAGTGGTGGTTACTGTACACAGAACTGCATTGCAAGAAATCTTATGCATGTCAATACAAATTCAGAGAAATGTAGTGTGTGGTGGGTAGAAGTGCCCCACTCTACCATGATGCTTTCAAGCATGTCAACCAACCTTCAAGGGAGAGCAGTGGCATGGGGGAGCTACATCTATGAGAGTGAAGTGGTATGGTGTCTGAAACAAGTTTTCCAGGAGGAGTTTCCCATCTTCCATGCTGCCTGTCAAACACCTTCACATGGCTGAGGATCACAGGACTCCCTCCCTCCCTCCCTCCACTTAACTGGAGAAAAGGGAGTCCGCAGTGCAAGGTGCCATCAAGTTCCTGTCTCAGCAGCTGCTCTCGGCAGCTCACGGGTCACACTTCTCTCCAGGGCTGGGGACTGCTCCACCACCAGCACAGTCTGGTTGGCTCTGTCAGACAGCTCTGGAGAGCAGCAAGCAGCCCTGGTCCCTGCTCCAAATATTCAGGAGTAATGTCTTATTCAGAAGACAACTCTCTAAGTGCTTGGCTACCCTAACAAAGTCATTCGTGCTTCTTCATTATTGTGTGGTGCTGATCATCTCATGAGGACAGAATATCCAGATCTTATGTTGGGAACCCTTGCTTTTCACCAGACACCACAGTTAAAACCATCTTCATAGTGTTTCTGTCTACACTGGGTCAGTTTGCTCTCCTGCAATTTTAATTACCTGGTCTTAATGTGCTGCCTAGCTACTGGCACAGTTTCCTTTGTTTCACCTGTTTTAGTACTCTGCTTGTTTCTTGGTTCTGACTCAGGCCAGGTTGGAAATTATTTTCTCAGGCCAAGAAAACATTTGAGAAAATAAAGTATCTGTGTCCAGAATAAAATTTTTAAGTTTTAGATATACTCCACACATAAAAAAGCCAATAAAAGACTTTATGCCAATCAAATTTTTCCTGTAATTTTAATTTTTTTTTAAATAATATTTTTTACATCTTTGGCATAATTGTGCTAACATTTTGAAACACAAGCTGTTTTGACTCAGAAAACCAGAACTTTTGAAATGTTGAAACAGTATTTAGAAATGTTTTGATCCAATAATTGTTACGGCTGCCAGCAGCTTAACTGATACTGTTTCAGGAGGATTTTTTTTTCATTAAGAAAGAATGTTTTAACTAAATATATATATACATACATTGTACACATATACGTACATACACGTGTATGTACATATACACACACACATAAGAGATAAAAAAATAACCCCCCAAAACTTCCTAGTCAGCTTTATTCTTCCAAGACTTGTGGAAAAATATCAGAAAGGAGCCAGAAGGTACCTGAAAATTATGATCAAACAACAGTACTGGTACAGTCAACCTCTACTAACTTTCCACACAAGTTACAAGCAGGCTTCATTTATCTGTGGGTCCCTCCCCTGCCCTGGCCACCTGCCCATCTGCTACCTTCCAGCATGCTGACGTGCATTGCATCGTTGGCCTTCTTTGGGACACTGAGCATCACTTCCAGACCATCTTTGAGCTCCCCTTTGCCCTCCTCGCAGCAGGTCAGCAGTTCCTAAGAAGCAATGCAGAAACACCCATAAACAAACTCTGACCAACATGCTGGCTTTGTGTCTGACTGTGTTTCTTGGTACATGCAACTGCTTCACTACTAGTGATAGGAGAAAGCTAAACTATAGCAAACCCCACTGTGGATGCTCACAAATAGGGGGGTCAAACAGAAATGACTATAAAACGAGATAAAGCAAGGTGCTCTCAAGTGAGACTGTGCATTTGGAAGATTTCTGGGGACTTTTGCTCATGTTGCAGCCACCACTCCATCCAGCTGTGCCAGGTGGGTGGCAGGATTCCTGCCTGATCCTGCAGTGCTGGTGAGCACTCCAGGGCAGGGAGGGCCTTTCAGGAAAGATTCATCTGAGGAGAGACCAAAGGGGTGCTTTAGCCTTCCCACCAGCAGATGGGTTATGCAGTGCAGGTTTGCTGTCCCACAGCACTCACTAGGCTATGGTAAACCTGAGTGTTGTTTCAGTAAACAGGTACAAAGCACGGATTTGTCAGTGTGTTGAATGTAGCAAGTACCTTCCTAGTACAGCATATCACTCCTTTGGTATATACACAGGAAGCTTTAAAGAGAAGTATCATATCTGGTCCTAGGTTTTCAAAGACAGAATCTGTTTTTTCCCTTAACCCACAGAATTTTTTCTTCTCTGGCTTACTAGTTTGAAGTGAACAATGGCTGGTTAAGTAAGATCTAAAATTAACTTATGCACAAGATACTAGAAAAACCTGTAACCGATTTACAAAAAACAAAAAAGTTTGCTTTTTTTTAAGTGGGAAATGTTAATGTTTCACTTGGAAGTCCTTGGAACTTTTCCCTGATTCTTCAAACACGAACATGTTAGCTCTCAAACAGAATCCAGTGCCAATGAAGGAGTCTCAGTCAAGAGTCATTGAAATTTCCCGAAATTCATTGCTACCATCATTGAAGCCTTTAATCAAAATACTACATCAGAAACTTGGCAAGAAGCAAAATAAACAGTTCTGTCATCCCTTCAACTTTCTTTTCCCATTTGTTGCTTTTGAGGATGAAATCCACTTGGATGCAAAAGAAACAAAAACTAAAGCCAGCTGAAAAGGTTTTTTACTGGTTTGTTTGGTTTTGGTTTGGTTTTTCTTTCTTTATATGAGTCTTTTCCTTTAAAACAGTCAACCTGATTTCACACTTTGTTGTCATGCCCAGGCCTGGGAAGTAGGAGTAGCAGCTCAGCAGCAGCTGCTTAGGGGTCATGAAGCAGCTCCCTTAAGCGCAAGGTAACTCATTACACCTGTGAACTGCTCTGCATGAGCTGATTTGTGCAGCTCACTAAGGTACCTTCAGTAGGAGTTGGTATTTTGTGATCCTCTGGACAGGCTTGATTAAATAAGAAGAGATGGAGTTGGCCAGACCATGTCTTTGCTGAATTTCCTAGAACAGATAAAAACAGCAGTCAGTCATGGAAAACTATTAACCCCCTGCCAGACAGAACCACCCATAACTAATTTTAGCTCTGGATCCGTGCATTTCTACATTTAGTTTTTTTAACTTTCTTTAAGCTCCCATGCTTAAAGTGTGGTTTCAGAGGCTGGCAATAAACTGCAGAGTCCCCCTAGGGCCACTTAAACTGCAGGGTCCCTCTGCAAGTCAAGCTGAGGCTCTGCTGAATAAAACTGCACAGGCTTCGATTTAAATATAACTTACCTGTCATGTCATCTGGTTTCCCCTAGCTATGAAGGCTGAAAGCAGAGTCTTAACATTCAATTAAAATGAAGCGACATTAAATTAAATTGCATGCATAGGGTGTAATTTAGCTGTCTAAACATAGTCATCTAGTACCATCTGAGAGCCCTGGGTAGCTGAAATATCCCCATGTGAGTAACAGGTCTGACACAGTGCTGACAGACCCATGCTATTCTGAGGTGGCACGTGGGTCCCAGGAGATACCTTTATGATACCTGTGACAGCACTGAATACTTCTGTTTCGCCATCTGAACCTCAACCAAAATGTCTGGGTTGATCCGTGTGATGTGCTCATGAATTTCTGCAGACATTACAGACAGGCACTTGGTGAGGTCTGCAAAGGGCTCAGCTGCCTCCCTCCAACAGATTCCAGGGCAAGTTAGGAGCTCCTGAAAATCCTACAGCACCCTAATGCACATATTTAGCCATCTAAAAGACCTCAAACTCATTCCCTACAGAGGCAGATTTTCTGCTGAAATAGAACAGGTTGGAAACCCTTCTGTCTCCACCAAGCCCTGGGCATACCTCCCCTTGCTCCTGGACATCAGGAAATCCACAGTTCCTAAGGGAGCAGGTGAGGAAGGGGAATGGGACTTATCTCCAGATGCTGAAGGGTAAATTTGAGACTGTAAAGGGAAGAAGGTACAGAAAAGGAAGGGGAAAGAGCTGCCAAGAACAGAGATTTTCTTTCTGTATACAGTCTGATTTTCTGCTGAGTACTAAGGAGGTTACTGCTTCTTTTTAGCCTCAATGTTTATCTGTATGATGGGATGCAAAAATACCCACTTTTCACACCATGTGCCTTTTTTTTCTAAGCAGATGAGTTTTTAAAAAAAATATCTCTGGTGCCATGAACAAGACCCAAAAGGGAAGGGGCTCTGTTTGGGGGTTAATGGAGTTTGCATGAAGCTGAGTCATGGCTGGCTTCACACAGGAACTGAGCCTGCAGAGCACATGGCTGGGACTCAATTCGTAACTGCAGGAGCCAGCAAGACCTCAGCCACGTCTGTGAACTTCCTGGAGCTGGCAAAGTACACTTGTTTTTGTAGGATCCAAGTAACTAAGTTAGCACTACTCCTTCGTGACAGCTCTCTGAACAGCAGGGTATCTCTCAGTAAGATGCCTCCCCTTTGGGCATTCCTTGCTCTGTCAGGATACTCCCTGGTCAGACTGTGTGGAGACACAGTGGATTGGTGGAGTGTCCCTGCTGTAGCAACAGCACTGCTACATGGCAATCAGACAAGTACACTGCTGGGAAGGGACATTCTCCCTGCAGCTCCTCCCTCTGGTCCCTGAAGCGTGGGAGTAAGAAGACAGCCTGCTGGAGTGTGTCTTGGGTTGGCTTTGTAACAGCTGGAGAGATCTGGACTTACTGTGGGTGGAGATGGAAGTGAGAAAGGTCTGTGCAGGGTAGAGCCCAGCAGTGCAGACATGTCTCACACACCTCTGGGGACAGGGAACACAGAGGTGTCTGAGCTTTGCAGCAGCTGCCAGGTTTCAGAAGCAAGCTGACCACAGGCTCTGTGCTCTCTACTTTGCCCTGCTTCTTGTTTAAAGCAAGCTTGGCTCACGTTATAGTCCATCACCATGGCTCACTACCAGACACAATTTTAGTTGTTCCTTGGGTGGTAAAATGTCCCAAAGGCCTGGAAGAAATGAAGATATCTGACAGGCACTGTGTGCTGGTACTTGTGTATTGCAAACCAGATGAGCTGCAGAGCAGGATCAACGTGTAGTCTTGAGGCAATGACAGAATCCCAGACAAACACCAAAACTATCCTCTGCGTAGGGCAGCACAGGACCCTCAGAAGTCCTTGGATGGACAACATTGAGACAGGAATACTTAAATATAATGTCATACCATCAGGACTGCTGAATTTGCCATGAAGTAGTGACTAAGTGCCTAGATTTTGTATCAAATGTCTAAAGAGATTCACAAATTTAGATGTCATCTAATTGTGTACAGTTGGTTGGTAGGAGGACAAACTGCATCCTGAACTGGATGTACAGACCAAAGACTTGGTAAGTAGACTGTTTCAGCACTAAAACTCTCATGAGACATTTAGGTTTTGTGATGCATGACAAATCTGATGAGCAATTTCAGAAAAAATATTAGTAAGCAGAAGCTGAGACCCTGGTTGTGCTTCTGCTTATTTCCTAAGGGACACTCCAGATCAGTGGAGAAACTGTTCAAGAACTACCACCCATGCATAAACACAATGCTCTGCAGTGCTACCAAAGTCAAGGAGCATGTTCCATGCTGGTCATGCAAGTCAAAAGTGCCCTGAAGCTTCTTGAATATCATCTTTTCCAAGATTTAAAGAAAAAAATGTTTACAATAGCAGAAGCATGTAGGTGACTGAACCAAACTCTTCCCGAGGACCAAAGCTTGCTCAAATAACAGACACTAAAATCAACTTGATCCCCTCAATAACATGCTGATTTCCACCGACTCGAGAGCTAAGGTATGTTGGCAATAAAAAAAAATACCTTGCTAGCCTGAAGTTTATAGTATTACAGATATTAAAAATTGCTAAACATGGTAGGCATCATTTATCTTTGAAACTACTGAATAAAGTTTTAATAAATTCTCAGATAATGAACAAGACAAATACAAAAAGCAAAAGAACCAAATTAATGTCTACTGCAGTTATATCAGAATAAGCACATTAGTTTCATTCCCTATGCAATTTTCAGCTCATATAACCATACCAACAACTTCTGAATTTTATAAACAGAGCATGATCTGTAGGGCGGGAAGACAGTAGTCTTAATCCTTCATTAAAGATAAACTAGGCAAGTTTCATAATTGAGAGTTAGTGCATAGTTTTCCACCTGTCTCAGCTGGTCTAGTAAAAGAAACTGCTTTTATCTACATACATGGCTTCACTTGTACCCTTAGAACATCCCACCTCTCATAGCAACACTAGTAGTTCATGGTTTCCAATAAGATATGTCACTTGTCTTTGCTCCTTCTCCTAATTAGCTAATCCTTGTAGTGAGCCCTGAAGCTGCAAGTTTTCCACAGTTCAAGCAGGTTACTGGGACTGCTTGTTTTCAACTCAAAGGTGTCTTTCTATGACAGTTTATGCAATTTGAGGGGTTGTATACTTCTGATCTTCAAGCAAACTTCTTACTAAGGGTGTTATTCAAAATAACTCACTCTCATCATCAGGGTGTTTTGGGAAATTCCAAGTTCTGCCTGGAACAAAAGAACCAGCCATTTCCTCTGTATTCCTTGTACCAGACTGTCCTGTGCTGTCACTGAAACACTGCCTCTCCAAGATCAAGATAAGAAGGATCTACAGGTACTTTACATTACTTTAGTCACTTAGATTGGGTGACTCCTTGGGGATTTTTGGGGGGCATAGTCATCTTTCTCTTTTTGCACAGGTGTCACTGGGTATAGCCCAGCACCAATGAAAAGCAAACATCTCCCCTTGCAAAACAGCAGAGGGTGACACAGGAATATTCACTACTAAGCAACATCATTGAGGTTTCCAGCCCATATAGAGAGCTGGAGTGGAAAAGCTTAGCAGAGAAAACAGTTTTACTTGTGCAAAAAGCACTGACGGACACCTAGGGCAGCTCACAACCCTCCACGAGTCACCGACCAGTATAAACCATTCAACAGGCTCAAGCGCCATCTCCTGGAAAATTCCTTTCAGTTCCATTCTGCTTTTGGACCATTTGGTAACAAGGCAAAAACCAAGGCAAACGAAAAAGTTGTTCATCACTTTTCTTCTGGCTCATTTGAGACCTTTCATTGTCGAGTGCGATTGAAATGCTACAACCATTGGCACATACAGACCCCAGAGGAGCTGATTTATGTCAGCTGCCAACCACATCACAGCTTGGATCCTGCTGAGTGGTTACATTTGCAAACAGATTTTCAGTGCTTTGGGAAAGAGGTCTTAGCACTGGTTTTTTTCAGAGAGGCAACTAATTAAAACTATAAGGTAGCAGACAAATATGGCAGAATGGATAAGGTTCCAAAAATAAGAGGAAGAGCTTAGTTTAAACATACTCAAAAACTTTAACAATTTTCTCAGCCTACAAAATTGGGATTGGAGCCTAAAAATGTTTCTCACCAGGTGTAGTGCTTGTTAGGAACATAGTCTAATTGCAGTCAATGATGTTTCTTACCAGCATGATGAAGCAAATCTGTAATAGGCTGGGTAAAATTTGCTGAACAGGAAGACAGACTCTTGTTTTGGACTGAGGGATTTCAGATCATAAAACATAATAGAATCTGCCTTACCACTAAACCCAGAAATAGAGAGTACATCTAAACCAGATTTTTAGGAAGGATTTGGTCTGAGAAAAGCATAAAAGTTCCCATAAGAATTCAAAACACCTTGCCACACTGATGAAGATCAGACATCACACCACAGCCTCTCAGTTTTCACAGCATGTGATATTTGCAGTGGAATGAAAACCCCAATACCAAGGCACAGAAATGAACCCACTGCTCAGATGTAAAGGAGGTGTTTCAGCTACACTAGGTGTATGGAAGGAAAATGGCAATGGCTGCTTACATCAAAGAAAGTCCCTGCATGTTCCAGGATGAGCTGGTTGGAGTCAGGCTTGTTTTTGCAGTAGGTGACATACATCTGAAATTTATCTGCCTGTGAAAACAAACATCAAGGGAAATGCAAGATCAGCTACTTCTCTGTTCCCACAGTCTTTTATTAAGGCTTACCAGGATAAATAAAGGTGACAACACCCTCTCACACACCCACTCCCCATCAAGGAGCACAAGAATTGTAAATTAAGAACAGAAGATTTTAAAGTTCATACCTTACCTGAGCAGTTCTGAGGGCTATGAGAGGCTTTCTTTAATAAGTATAACAGAGAGAAAGCCTAAAACTTTAATCCAGATATAAAGTAATTTCTAAGAGCTGTAATGATGTTACACAGATTGTATCCAAGAGTCTGCAGGTCTCAAAACCATGAAGTGTTGACTCTATCACCTACTTGAAGATAAAGCCAGTGTAGAAACTATGGGCAAGAGACTCACCTGGCTTAAACTAGCTTGAGCCAACATTATTTACTTGAAAATTGTGACACCTGGCCTAGAGATGCCTTTCCTACCTTGGCTCATACTTAAGTGGCTCAAATTTTATGTTGTGCTAGGAGTGTTTTGCATTTTATTTCCTAATTTATTTACTTTTAAGAGGAAATAAAAAGCAATTGTGCACTCCCACCTCATATTGCTGTACTCTGGTCTCAAGAAGAGGCAGGCAAATAAAAGAGGAGGATGGCTTCCTTTTATTACTATTGCATTTTTTTATTCCAGGTATCTAAACAACAGGACCATGCAATTGGGCAAGCAATTGCATGTATGTCTGTAATCATACACACAGCTCTGGACATTCACTATTGCTGAGATGATGCTGTAGTGTCTTAAAAGTACCATGAAGATTTTGCACAGAAAGATGCACATTTTGCATATAAATGCATCCATTTTTCCTAAATATGTAACCTCTTCTTTGTAAACAATATTCCTGAATGCATTTCATCAATAGTTGTGACACGTTTTTAAATTAAAGGCCCATTTGAAATCATCCAAACATGCTCAGTTTTTTGATAAGTGAAATTTTTCCATCATTACTCTTAAAACACTAATTCCTAGCTTTGAAATATGAATAAAACCATCAAAGTAAACACGAAGATGGCTGGCTTGACTGGTAAATATTTTGAAAAGAGAATAGCTTTCATACAGATAAATCACTGTAGCCAAATCCCAGAGCTTCCTACGCCCACAGAGATTCTTAGCATCAAGATTTCAAAGTCCTATTGGAAATCATCCTGGCATTGGGTAATGGAATGAGAGAGCACAGTGGCTCAGAAATTTGACATTAATTTCTGGAGAAAAACATTGATAACACATGTTATTCATACCTTTGTAAAGTTCTCTTGGCATGACTAAAATTCTTTAAGGAAGGTATATTAAGATTTTTAATGTCTGTCCTCCTATGGCCTTTCACAGGGAAATGAATGTAACCCCTAAACACAGGTTTTGTTTGATCAATTCCTGTTAAACAGAAACCAGCAGAGGCAGAAGCTGTGCTGGTCTGTGCAGGACAAGGAGAGAGGCTCTGAAAGCCTTCACACTATTCAGGAGAGGAGTTATGGGAGGAACCTTTCATCCAGAGACAGGAGAAGGACAAAGCAGTTGTAGTTCTAGACTAGCTCCCCATCTCACATATCACCAAGGACATAACCCTTGCACCTATTCTCAGCTTGTTTCCATCTGTGCTGCAGGAATTAATGGGAATAAATAATGAGAAGAAGCAGCCTCATTACCCAGGTGACGAAGCAGTGGCCCACGTCCTCAGGCAGTTGTTCATATTTCTCTAGCTCTTTTAAAAAAATGCTGAAAGAGGAAGACACCAGTAATTAGTTACACTCAAATACCCAGGAGATGCAGAATGACCAATGAGTTAATCAGTACTAATGATCAATACTTGTATCTTGATTATGAGGCTAATCAAGGATCCTGCCAGTGCAAAAAGTGTCTCTTGCCAAGGTGTGCTTTGGTTTTGAGTACAGTCATGCCTGACTCCTCTAGAAAGGAAAAGATGGCAATCCCTAGTAGAGAGTCAGTGTGTCCAGGGCTGCAAAGCGATAATCAAGAACATGAATCTTCAAAGAGTTGTTGTGTAGTGGTTCAGAGGAAGAACAAAAAGAGAAACCCAAGGCTGCCAGCTGTCCATCACTGAACTCAGCACACTGAACAAAGGACAACAATTCGAAAAAACTCAACATTTATAGGTAAGTAGTAAACTCCCAAAATACAAATTTTTTAATCAACTTTCTCCCAACAACTTGTACCACAAGTGACATCTCTGTTTGCAGACAGAGCCCTGTCCAATGCCTGGGTGGAAAGAGAAATGTGAAACAGAGGCTGCAGAAGAAGCAGCAAGTGAATATGCTGTTTCCCCAGCTGACAAAATCATCAGGATTGGAAGAGACTTTCAAGATCATCCAGTCTGACCATTGACCCAGCAGCACCATAATCACCCCTAAGCCATATCCCCAAGTGCCACATCCAGACACCTCTTGAACACTTCCAGAGATGGTGACTCCACCACCTCCCCTGGCAACTTATTTCAATGCCTGACCACTCATCAGTGATTTTTTTTTTTCTAATGCCTCACCTGAACTTCCCCTGGCACAACTTCAGGCCATTTTCTCTCATCGTTTCACCTGACATACAGCAGAAGAGATCGACCCCCACCTGCCTCCTCTCAGGTAGTTGTAGAGAACAATGAGGTCCCCCCCGTCTCTCCTCTCCTCCAGACTAAACAACCCCAATTTCTTCAGCTGCTCCTCCTAAGACATGTTTTCTGGACCCTTCACCAGCTTTGTTGTCCTTCTTTGGACACGGATTCTGAATCAGTCTGGAAGATGCTTTAACATCACCAGCCAAAGGAGAAGGCTGTGGAGGACACTGGTGGAGGTGACAGAGGGGAAATTTATTTTAGTATTGCTACAAGTTTTAGAGGAAAAAGGATTATGCAGAAGTAGCAGGCTGAAGGAGGAGATGTCAGAGAAAGGAGAAATGACAGCAGCGAGGAGCTGTGGGGCATGACTGAGGGTTGAAGGGATGGCAGCTGGGAACAGAGGAAAGTCAAAAAGGAGAGCAATCTGATGGCATCAGTCAGGGTCATCAAAACAGAAATATAGCACCACAGAGTGAGGGCAAGTGGGCTGGCAATTGGGTGATCCTAACATAGTTTTAAATGAGAGGAGAATATTCGCCTCTATGACAGGGAATTTTTTGGGGGCTGGAAGTCAATTTTAATGCAATATGTAGTTTATATCTGCTCTCCTGCTATGCTTTGAAGCTACTTGCACAGAAGCATGTGTATGGCAGGCTCTGCTGGACCATATTTATGTGTATGTGATAGTACATTTGTCTGGCTGAAGCACTTAAGATCTCCCATAACTTGACCAGGGAAGGATTTTCTGATTTGTTTTCAAAACCATTTACATTTTGACGTGTAACCGAAAGACAGATTTGGAATTCAGATTGAACTTGTGGGATTCAGCGCCCCTAAATGTTAAGTTTATGATTGCAGTTGCATTCACATTATAGCATGGAAACAATGCCCTCTAAGCTGATGTGGTATGCAGTCTTATCTTAATAAAATGGAGTACTGTTAGTTACAGATTAAATATAGAAAGTCTCCAAGAAGTAGCAGGAAAGCTACTTATTAACCCAGCTCATGCCATCAATTTCATTTTTTGCCCTTCATGTTTTCCAGGATCATATTCCATAGATCTAGTCCAGACTAGATCTAGTGCTGTGAGATGGAAAGCATGTATAGGATGGCGAAGCATTGGTATCCTATGACTTTAATATTGTTAATCAGCTGAAGGCGAAGTTGCAAATCATTTTTGTAAAAGAAACAAAACAAGAAATCAAGCATTATTTTACAAATCTGGATGAATTACTTTACACTCCTGTGTGCATTGTACTGTAGGTGTTCTCTGCAGACACTGCAGAAATACACAAGTGCCTATACATGCCTTTGGTTTCCTTAGTCATTAAATATTAACAGAACTGTTAGGAAACTGTTAGGAAAACCTACTTGTTATGAAAGTCATATATCTCCTGAATATTGCCAAAGATGATGTGTTCTTTATTGAGGATCCCAGCTGGTATTTCTTCCACTCCACTTGTCATTTCCCAAAGGTAAGTCTGGAAGGCACCAGAAATTCTTAGAATAAATGCAGTGAAAAAAATAGATCTCCCTGGTTTATTGCCAAGGGCACAGTCTGACAAGGGTACTATGTACTTTGAGATTAAACAAAGAAGCTAAGAAAACCCAAATTTTCCAGTGTTACAGAAAGGTCTCCAGAGAAATTCAAAGTGCTGACACTTAGAAGTTTTCTGAGGAAAAAGCAGAAACAAGTCAACAACACCAGTCTTTGCTGTCCACCTGATGGTGTTCAAATACTGCAGGTAGAAACACCTGAAAGATAGACCAGATTTGCCACTTCAGGATCCTTAGATACATAAAAATCTCTTTCTGACTGCAGGAATAAGAAAGCTGAAAGATTTCACCGAAATACACTCTTTTTGTTGCCTTGAATATCACTGATCCTTTCAGGAACACCCTGCTGTACAGCTAGGCCAGGTATTTGAGTGTGCAAATCTGGATCTTTCTCTAGCATAAGAGTATTCAAAGGAATAGATTAGAATTCTTACAAAAATGCTCCATGAATCCATTAAAAAAAGAAAAATAAACCAACAAGCTTGGTCAATCAAGGCACACTGAGGTGTTCGTGGAGGTGCAGACACAGCCAAGAGTGGAGAGAACAGGGCACAGTCCTACCAGTGGGAGACAAGCTCCCATTGCTGCCCACCCAGCTCCCACTCCCAGCAGGACATGGCTCTGCAGCAAACCACCAATGGTGGTACCTTCACACAGAGCCCTGCCAAGATCAGCCTGTGCAGTAAAGTGAACATCACCACTGCAAAGGATAACACGTGTTCCCAGGGAATACTGGGGAACTCCCGGGCTGTAACTTACCTCTAAACATTCATGTAAATCCCTGACATAAGCTTTTTCTGTCTGAAGCAGCTCAGCCATAATGAATCTGAAAAAAATAAAGTATTTTAGGTGTTTGGGGCATTATAAGCATTTGTACAGTGAACAGAAAAAACATCCTCCTGTTGTCTTAGTAAATACAGGCATTTCCACCCTAGACCTTCAGCTGCCTTACTTTGCACCTTTCAGCTCCATGACTGAAAAACCACTTCATATCCCAGTCTCTTGCAGGGTTTTTATTTTCTAAATATCTTTTCTGCATAAAATCTTATTAAGTTGTATTTCTGCAGCCCCGAGTTGGGATTTACTGTCTACGTGCCCATCCTTAATAACCAACTGATTCTCAAATTTTTTTTCCCCAGGAGTAAGGACTTGAGATTCACCAAAAACACTTGCACCTTTGCTGACAGTCAGTGGTAAGCCACCCTAAAACTTGACGTTCAGTGGCAATACAGATGGATTTTGGGAAACACCACTACTTTGACGGCTCTTCAAGAGTTTGGTATATGACCAGAAAAAATCCAAATGCTGGAAAACCCATCAATGGCATCTGTAGTGCCTGAGGCCAGGCACCTCAAAGTTGAAGTGCCCAATGTTTTGAAAATATGCCACAGGCAGACCAAGAGTAATGACATTTCCTAAAGCAGAAATGGTTTCTTATCAAAGTTATGCACCATAGCGACAATTTCAGAGGGCTGAGAAGGACTATACATACAAATACTTTCCAAATATTCTTACACAAAAATCAAGACAAAATACTGTGAAAATACATTGGTTTTAGATTTAAGTACAACAAGCACTCTTCAAGTATTTCCTCAGTTCAGGTCTCTCAGTTCTATACTGACTGAAATTTGAACCTAAACTTCAAGTGTCACTGAAACCCTGTTAACTCCTCTAGTCGTCACTGAAGTTAAAATAATACTTAAACATCTAAAGATGTTTTTATTTTTTCCTGTTCGTTTTACTTTTCACATAAAGCCAGAAGGATATCAGGGTTAATCCAAGTGCTTGACTCACTGCTTTCCCTTTCCAAAAGTAACTACTGATTAAACCCAAAAGAAATTCAACGTGTATCTTCTGAAATTCTCTGTCCTGCAAGTAACAACTTCCACCCTACATCTGCAGAGTTATCTCAATAGCTCTGCAACTGGAAGGAATTAGAGGAGTGTCTGTCAGTTCTGGTCATGCAAATACTGTAGCATCGCTCTTTATCAGATAATGTGCCATGGCAGGCTGTGAGCATTTGGGACATACTCTTTCTTTCTGGCCGACTTCCTTTTTTCTTCATTGACTTCATGATTTGCATCTCTCAGCTTTACCTCCCGGTCTGAAAGACTTGCTGGAATAATATCTAGTTCTAGGTCTTTGTTATCCTAGGAAAAAAAAAGTACAAATTTTAAATTCATTGCAATCCTATTGTTGAGCAAAGTGCAGCATGTTCATGAGATCAAATGGGTAAGAAGGGACAAAAGTAAGATCATCTCAAAAAGAAGGAAACTCCGAGAGAAGTAGAACTACCGTGAGAAGGAAAAGAAGGTGAGAGAGACATCTTAAAAATGTCAACTATGATATTCACTGTAGTCTTCACTGTTACTCCTATCTAGGAGTAGGTATCGATGAAAAATGTCTATATTTTACCTTACTCCTTCATATCTAAATTAGTTGCCTCGTGTGGGACTTCCTAAATAATAGCCTGATAAAGTAGAGAACTTTGCAGAGACAATCCCAACTTTCAGTGGTCATTTACCATGAAAATACCTTTCCAGGCTGTGGTTAGTTTACACAGAGTTACTAAACCATAGACCCTGCAAGGAACAGTACATTTAAAGCATCTGAGGGTGTGAGGGAATTTATTCCTCTTTCTGACACTTAATTTTGAAGAATCGTTTTCTGAAAGGTTTTTAAGCATTTCTGCTTCTGGCACTCCCCCTTAATACTATGGGCAGGGAACAGCAAGAGGTTCTATTTTTTGTTTCTCTTGTGTGCTCTGTGTCACCTAAAATAGCTCAGAGGTGAGGCTGAGGATCAAATTTTTATGTTAGTTAAAGGATGAGAGAATGGAAACTTACAGGCAAAATTTGAGTTTAACTCAAAATAATGGTGCAGGATCAGGATTTATGGTTTATACTAAAATTAACATAGACTTTTACTCAAATAATGTGCTTCCCCTCCTTCCCAAGAGCTGTTACGGTCTCCTGGAAAATAGTGCAAACATTTGTTTAGAAAGTCTTTCTGATCTCCATCTGCCTCCTCTTCATATCATTGATCTGCCACAGCAAGAAGTTTTCTCTTCAGGAGCAGTTCTGAGCTTGGCTGGGTAGGCTGGCTGAGCTTTAAGTGTTTCTAATGGGTACACGAAAGCCTGCACCATTCATACCATAGCCTTCACCTTCCCCTATGACTTTCAGCTTTGGTATAAAACCCCAGCAGGACACGGTCTTACTGTACCTCTGTATTGATTCCAAGGGCTTTTTCCAGGGAGTAGCGGTATTTCCCCATCCTGAGAGAGAAGTCCCGGTAGCGTTTGTCAACGGTGGTGACCCACTTCCTAATTTCAGTGGCGTGTATATGTCCTTTTTCTACAAAGCTGTCGGCCAGCTGGATGAGGAGCTTCACTTTCTCCTTTGTTTGCTGCCCAAAAGAAGGTCCTTGATTATGTTGAATTATTTCCTTTGCTTTTAATTTACACAGCAATCAAAAGCAGCTTGCAATTTTTTTATACGTCATTAAAGGTTGTCTGTGCTTCATCTTATACGGAATCAGACACTTAAAAACTTTGCCCAGTAAAACTTAAAGACATTTTTATAAGGACACTTATGAAGCTGCAGAAAATAGAAAAAGTCAAGATTTTGAAACCATGCACATACAGACAAGGAAGACATGCTGGAAGTTAGACATGCCTCCTTCCTATAACCAAAAGCTTATTTTTTTGTGAGCCTTGGAGCAGAAGACAGGATTAAAAAATCATGCCTCATAAAATACACCAAATTACTCTGAGTCTATACCTGGGTCATTCTGCAGATCTGTGTAGGCAGGTCATTAATACACTTATTAGCCCAAGAAGTGATTTTGAGTCAGTACTACTTTGTTTCAAAACCAAACAGAATTAAAATCCAAATTCATGGTCTACTATAAAAGCCTCCATCAGTATTTTAGTTCCAGTTAGAACATTACCAACTAAAAGATGCCTGAACTCCAAAAGATACCTTGAGCCCCCAAACCTTCCAGAGGTCTTTTCTATTCCACTTATGCTCTCAGTGTCCCATAGTTATGATGGTTTTCCATGTTGAGGAACTTTGTGCAAAATTGGCACAAGGAATCTAGTTAAAACTTTAGCTCCAATTCCAAGTCTATCCCAGGAAGTGAGGTACTGGCAAGTTTCTTTTCAGATGGGGAGGACTTTCCACCATGCCTAAAGCAAGGTATGCTGTCAGGTACTTGTCATCAGTGATTTGGCCACAAATGCATGTCACGCCAAAAATATCTAGCAGATTTCAAACCCAAAACTAAATTCAAGAAATTTCACCACCATAATAAATTAACAGCTGAATCAGAGGTCATCCTAACAAACTGAGTATCTAAGCAAGGGTAGGTATGGAGATGTAAAAATCTGATTTCCTGTCATATTTAAAGTGTGTTTCATTCCCAAAGGCTACTGGTGTTTTTGCATTCCAAATAATTGGTTTGGCCAGAAAGTTATTTGTATCAGGAAGGCTTTCAGTTACAGCTTAATTTGAGTATAACATCAGTCTGGGAATGACATGCATTTACCAGATTGCACATGGCAGTGAAAATGTCCTAGCAGTAGGAAAGTGATTTATGACAGCCCTAGGGAGCACGACTAGATGTGTCACTGTAAGGAGCAGCCAGTAATGGTTAATAGGAACAAGGTATAAAAATCAATCCGAGGCTAAGTTGAGAGCTGAAATAGTTTTGAAACTTCAGGATGAATGTGGATTATTCTGATAAAAATTAAATTATGGAAATTATGAACTGGAATATAATTTCAGGTGGACGAATTATGGGTGGTTAGAGTTCAGAAGTAGTTAAAAGAGTGTCGTACATGTTCTGTCTGATAAAATTAACTTCCATCCACTGCTAATTGTCTAACACTTTCAGAAACATGCAAGCTAAGCGAAAAGAAGGAGACAAGAACACCACAAAGCCTGTGAATCAAACCATGGAAGCATGGACAGCCTAATGAGGAATTTAAGGATTACAGAAGATCAATTTCAGGACACAGTGAAATACAGCTACATAATACCAAAGCCATGGTCTTCCTGCAGTCTGACTTTGCAATTTACATCCTTATCAGTGACTGTTAATACCCCCGTGGATTCACTGTCTACAAATTACTTATGGTTTGAATTAATTTGCCTGAAGCAGATCCAATCACCATACCTCCGTAAACCCCACCAGATTTCCAAGAATTGCTCCATATAAATGAATAGATTCTTGGTAATGCAGTTTTCTATTCAAAAATGTTCACCCCAGAGTTTTAAAACTCATCTATTTCAAGTACTTTGTTGGGATCAGCAGATTATTTCTAATGAGATAAATGATCATCTGTGAGCAACACAGCTGGAATAAGTGAAGCAAATTGTAGTTCCAATGACAGAAGAAAGAGGCCAGGAATCCAACATGACCTTGGATGTGTTCAGAACAATTATGTGCTGTATACCATTCTGGAATGATTGTCTGATGATGGAATTAGGGTATGTCTCATTAGGCTGCTCTGTATACAAATGAACTTTCTCTTCCTTATGATCAGAATAAAAATTCTCTGTAACCAGTACTGACCAAGGGGGAAAAAACCTCCATTTTATGTCTGTGTCTTACTAAAAATGAAAGATCACAGTTCTCAAAAGACGTTTATCTTCTGGGCTGGGAATGTTAGAAGGAAAATATAAAATCAAGAGAGTATTACTAGAGATTTGAGGCATTGAAACAGAACCATAAGTAAAGACTGAAGTAGATGGCATAATTAGATTAAAATCACTGTTTACCTTGGCAGGTACTCTGAATTCCCCATATTCCTTCAGGAGTTCCTGAGTTTCTTCTGCTGATTCCCCTGTGGAGTTGTGAGTAGAGAGGTAATATTCGCCTGTTTCTTGGATCCAGTCTAAGGCCTGTGAACATCAAAAACAACCAAAGGAAAAACAAAACAAATAGTCTTTGTATTTCAAGAACTAATGCTCTGGCAAAAAAACCCCCAAACCTGCCAAATAAAGGATAGCAAACCCATTGGGACTTAATACTGTGTATACTAAAATACTTTCTAGGAGCATGCATAAAGAAAAAAGTAATGAAAGAAGGTGGGAAAGGATACATGAAGATACTCTATGTTTTCTAGGACAAAAAGGAGTGTAGGGAATTCTACCTGTATACAGATAAATCTTCACACAGATAGTTTTCTCATTCAGTAATAGCTCCATAAAACAAGTTTGCTCTTATATTTATTTTCAAAAAAATGAACAAATACAGAAATTAATCCGAGGTAGCAAAAATACTGAGTTTTGTTGTTCAGTTTTGGTATTATCTTTAGTTGTGTTTTAAAAAAATCTCTATTTATCACATTTTCAAAAGTTACAGTGTTTAAATATGTTTAAATACAACTTGAGATTGCAACAGGAATCCCACACAGAGGCACTACATGGATACAGGACATATTTACATGCTGCCAGGAGAGAAAGGCAAAGTGGGGTTTTTACACTACCTGCTTGGCACTGCGCTCAAAGACAACATATTGTTGGCACTGATCTAATCGCCGCTTCTTCAGGGTCCAGAAGTGAAGGACCCGGTTCTCCCTCTGCAACAGCTCGCTCAGAATGGCTATAGGGCAAAGGAAAACACCTGCATGACTAGTGATTCTTTGAGTGCATACAGAAATAAGCCATAAAAAGCTGAATTTAATCACTCTGCCAAGTGCACACATTCCCGAGAGCAAGAGTGCCCAATACTATACTTCTTAAAAATGAGCATTGATTCAAAGGGGCTGCTTTAAAACCAAACCAACAACAACAACAAACCAAACAAATCACACACTCAAAAAATCACCACAAAGAAAGTATAGTTTGCAGGAGGATTATCCAGTAAAGGAAAAGATGCTAGGATAAAGTTTGGGATTTACTCCAGTAAATACAGCAGGTTATATGATTTCTAGTCCTTTTGTTCTCTTTTGTTACTTATTTCAGGAGTCAGGTACCAGTTGACATAGGAGAAGTTGTTCTTTTACTGCCTCATCTGTTGCTCTGGCCAGAGGCTACTCAGCACTTGGCACCAAAGCCTATTCTGCCATTAGAGCTCTGGTCATGACTCAATTTAATTCAGACCTGAGCCCCTAGTTTGGTAAGATTTCTTTACAGCTGTGCTGCCTGGAGACCCTCTGTGTGCTCCCCATGCAGCTACTCCTGGGCTGTGATTTTGGGCTGAGGTCCTCTAAACTGCTCTCTATGTGGTGGGGATGGGACAGACATCCAGATTTAGGAGGAGATTTGCAGGAGATCTGCTACTCCTTTGAGTCTAGGACACCTGTGTTCTCCTTCAAAACTGCTTCAAAAGAGCACAGACAGACTGTATCAACTTGATAAATGGGTGTCATTTAACTCTTGAAAAAGCACCATGGGTTTAACCAAAAAGACAACATGGAGAGAGTGCAAGAGATTTATACTATATGGCTAACACAAACCTTAGTTAAACTTGAGTTTTTCTATTTAAACTGAGCTGAGTCATGTGTCATCCATGGCTATGGATGGAGCTCAGGTGAGGCAGCCCCTGCTTCTGCCCCACAGCAGAGCAGCCCCCAGAGGGGGCTCGGGCACAGACAGCTGGACAGCATCTGCACTCTGGTCTATTCACACACTGAGGCAGGTTCTCAACCCCTTACAGTGACTCAGGGTCATTTACTGCACCTCTTATTAACCTCTCCCACCCTAAGACCTTTCTGAATATATTTATATTTACTGCTTATGTATCAACATAGGTGGCAAACAGATTTGGATGTATCCCTCCCCATGTGCAAGTGTGACACTGACTACGGTCAAAAAATTTGTAATACTGAAGTTAATTGCAAAACCTATCCTAGTCCCTGCTGAGGACATTGAGAACTTGATCTGAGTGACAAAGGCAACTTGGAGCTTGTCGTAGGTGCTCTAGATCAGGTCTCTGCATCAATAGTTTATTCTGAATAAAATTAATTTTTACTCCGTATTAATAACTTTGCATTAGAAGCACAATAAATATCCTAATAGATGATGCTTTTATTCTAAACTGAAGTGTCCACTTCAAACATTTTCTGTGGATAGAGTCACCAGGCACAAGAACTATGTATTTGGCTTAGAAAGGGACTGGTATACAAGCTGATTTTTACATAAGCAAATCATTTCAAACAAGCTCAATGAGGAACACTCACAAGCTTATATCAGGTGCACATTTAAGGTCTTGCTGAGTCAGGGCTTGATTAGCTTTCCCATGATTTTCAACTGTAAGGAACAAATGTCCATAACAATGCCAAGCATTTGACACAGCAGTGGGTGAACAAAGTCATCTTGACATTGAAGACTGGTATTGAGAGAAAGGAAAATAACCTCTTCAGTAGCACCAATTTCATCTTCTGTTTATAACCAAAGTTCCTATCCCTTCCACATATATAATGACTGTACTGCTTTTAACCTGTAGCTTTCTGCAGGTTCTAAGGAAGCCAGTAATAATATCAAAAATGCTTTATTTCTGCAGAATTATTTTGTTCATTCCTATCTGTACCTCACAGCATTTCTTGCCACAGATTAACAACTGATTAATTAAACAGAAGAATAGAAGAATTTCAGACATTTCAGATGTATCATCTGATTGTAAATGCTGATTTTTTGACCAAAGAAAAATAAGTGCAGGTGAGTACTTTTGCTGGTGATTGTTAGATGTAGTAGGACATCAAACAGAATTCCAGGGACAAAATAATAGAAGATCCATCCTACGGACAAACAAGTTTGGGGTTCATTATTTTCCAGTGCTCAGCAGCAACAGGATGCATCCAGACTGTGTATTTGATATATGCTTATTTGTTTATGCATTTTTAGATATTGAGGCAAAATAGTGTCTGATGATCTCAGCTAACAACCTACATGATGGGGGCTGGTGCAGTGTCCCTTCCACAAACTCTTCTGACAAGAGAAGCCTGTGCTTCAGACACCTTTCCTATTTCCCCCATTACCACCTGCAGCAGCCAGTTCTGTGTAAGAACTCCCGCCTGGCACAGGAGGGATCCCTTCTAAAGGTGTCAGGCACAGGCATCATTTAGTGATGGTATATGGCAAAACTTAGGGTGCCTTCTCAGCATGTGCACAGACTTCGGGATGAGCAGACAGCAGAGGGGGAAGCAAACAAAACCTTCAGTGCTGTCACTGCACCAATGCACCAACCTTTCACTTGCTGCTCAGGCCCTCTGGTATGGCTTGCTACTCCAGGCATGCTGACATTGTTCCTGTGGATGTACTTCAGGAATACCTCGGCGTTCCTTCGGGCCAGTGTACAGGCCTAAGAAAAACAGCCCCCACCAAAAAGAATCAGTAAGGATGAGCAAAGAAAGCAAAAGGCACCCAAGGGAGTTCTCTGCTTATTTTGCAGGGAGAAGTTCTCTTTCATCTGGGAGGATGAGACCTTCAGCTAAGAGTCAATAAACTCAGCTAATAAACTAACAGCCTAATAAATGTATTACAACATAAGTAATTTTCAATATAATGGCTCATTTTATACGTTAAGGGAATTAATGACAATAATAAAACAACTGGTTGTAAAGAACTGGTACCCCACACATTTTCAGTCTAACCAAACCTAACCCATCTCTCAAGAAAAGTACTAATTGTTTCGAAAAACGTACAATCTAGAGACATAATTTCTTAAGCCTGGACAGCAAGCGTAGTTTCATGCTGTGTATCAGTTTTAGTGGAAGGTGAAAAGCTGGCTGACAGTTCACTTGTCAGCCTGTCAGCTGCACAGTTCTTACAAAGCAGCACCTGAAAGGCAGGAAGAAATCTCTGTCTCCGTCCTAGTGCTGCCTTGCAGAGACACAGTTGCTTCAGTTGTTATTAGTTCTTCAGTTATTGGCTTAGAGGACACAATTTGAAATGCTGGATGGTTTGTATAAACCAACACCAAAATAATGAGTAATAGCTGCCATTTATAATGTGATTTTGAGAATTCTAACTTCAAACCAGCACAAGAAGCATTCTGCAAGTGCAATGCAAATACCACCTAAATAGTCCTGGTGACATCTCTCTGAAATAGGCACTGATGATAATGCTTATTACCCCTGCTATAACAAAGTAAAACTGGCCTGGGATTTATACAGCCAGCCAGTAGCTGAACTGGAATTACACTTCAGAACCTCCTCTCAAACTTACCTGTTCTAACACTGCTCTAACCTGTCTACTTAATGAAGAGTTTTCCTGATTTATTAAAGAACTAAAACAAGACCTTGAGAAAAGCCTCCTTCTGTTCCAGATGTTTGCTGATCAGAGGGATGACATGGTCTATCTCAGCTGCTGGTCCAAGTTTATCTCGACCTCCACACCAGTCTTCATCCCGTCTGTATTCTTGCTCCAAACTCTCTAATACACTGCAGACCTGAAACACATCCAGAGCACAGCAATTCAGTTATCTACAATCTAAACAGGAGGAGCATGTTCAGTAAAAGTCTATGACCAATGACATTTCAAATCTAAATGTTTTGTGCTAATGGGTCACAGCATGGGGATACCTGGGTATAAAACAGGCCCTGGACAGAATGATCTAGCAGTTCTTCTTACCCACAGGGATCTCTACTGTTTGGGATAAAATTTATCTGCTTTAAGGCTGCTGATAAATCATTCTTCTCTTCTAATAGATAATGGGGGGGGGGGAGTACAAAGGTTGAATCAAGGCAGAGATCAGTCCAGACCCAGTAGATCCTTCAGGAAACAATCCCTATTATAGAAGAATGCTTTGGATGTGTTTAAATCCTACCTAAGTCAAGGGACTTAGCACATACTTAAAGAAAAACACATGCTTAAATACTTTCCTGAAGCTGGAATTAATTCTGTTTGCCTGCATGGTAGTTGCTCCCTATACAGCTTTTGTAAAGACTGATTGAAACCAATAAATATTAAATTAGTGTCACAGCCTAGGTGGATGCAGATGTTCCACTCTACAGGGCTCACAAATGTATCTTCTATGTTGGTAGAATAGTAGGAATGAGGTAAATAAACCAACACATCCTGGAAATTATGCAGTGGCCTCAGACAAAGCTGAGTCTTTTGTGCTGCGGATCCTGAAAATACTCTCAGTGGTTTGTGGAGGCACTGGAAAAACTGCAGAAGTTTTCCAGAACATTTGGAACTTTCCCCTTCTTTCCCAGAGGGCTCTTCCTACACAGTCCCCTGCTGAGATGACTCAAGATCCAGTCAGTTATTGCTAGGGATCCAGCTAACCATGTTCATCCTTTTTTTGCTTACTCCTGCAACTTTCATAGGAACACAGTTTTAATTCAGATGGCCCCACACGATTAAGAGCACAGTCTGGAGTCCAGCATCACCCACCATTCCAGAGAACATCAAAGTCCATTTTAAAACTGGTGAGTTAAAGTGAAATGATCAACTGATCCTGCTGCCAGGCTTGTGCACTATGCATTATGCAAGGACATTATGCATTTGGCAACCTAAAATCATCTTGTTTGGACGCAAACCAGCATTCACTCTCAAACATTTATTGGAGAGCAAGTACCCCTTATGTTATTTAGGCATAGAAAAGCATTTGCATTTTACTTCTTGAAAACCTTGACATTCTATTGGACTTTGGTGACTTAATGAAAGTAAATGGGCTGCCTAGGATCCACACCTTTCCATAAAGAATCATCCCTGCACGTATAAATATCCTCTCTCTGTTAAGATGATGAGAGAAGTGAATGTAAAGTGGGCTGTCAATGAAGTCAGAGAGAAACTGGGCTATTTGAAAGCCAGGGCTTCACCACTAACATCAAGAACATAATATGCTTGGGGAAGACAGGCGTGAAAAAGTTCAGCTGGATGTGACAGCCTCTCCACCCTTTTAGCTGTTTTTTCTAGATACTCAGAGAATTCAGGATCCAGTAAATCATTCAATCCATTGTCATCCAGTCAGGGAGCAGACCCTTAAGGACTGTAGATCACTTGTGCAGCCCAAGAGAGGATGACAGAGTACTTGCAGCAGTGAGTTCATGAGCATTTAAGGACTGAACGGTCTTTGCTCTAAACATTTGCTGAATAGACACAACTTATGAATGAACTGGTGGGCACTACAGTGTATGTTTGTCTATGACTTGGAAACAGGAAGAGAGACTGAATTGATAAATTACTGGCTATGCATGTTTTGGCCAGGACATCCAACTGTCTAATGCTTTAATGAATCCCTCAATGGTTTTCATTTCTCACAAAGCTCCATCAGCAGTAATTCATTTTGATCTTGAATTCATCAGGGACTGTAAATCTGTTTGAAACTCTTCAGAGTGAAAGACATTCATTATAAGGAATTAATTCATCTTAATCTTAAAAATGCATTAAACAAATGACACCAAAAAGTGGCCCAAGGATTATCAACAGCCTGATGTTAAGGAAAAACAAGTTCTTTCCCTAATAACATATTTAGTTGTGTTAAAAATCTCATCAAGTCCGGTTCTCTAATTGAGGAACTAACTGTGTGATGATAATAACAACAGAAAATGTCATGGCAATTGCTGCTGCCCTTTGTGTAAAACCACAGGTTCCTGCAATGTCCGTGCTTACAGCAACTGCCTGACTGCAGTGAATTATATCAGGCAAGTAGCCACACTGAGGCACTAATTCTCACTGACTACAGTAGAAATGGCACCTGTTTGTGCAAGGGATGAATAATCCCACCATACCAGCAGCCAACTGGAAGGTGTTTTAAAATTCATGAACACCTGGAATGTTAACATACAGTGGGTTACTGCTGTAATTATCTGTGTTGCAGGTAGATTTAAGAGAAATCCCTTTGTATATTGGCATCTTTTTCAGCATGGTGGTGTTTAACTACTAGTGAAAACACTGGCTAGTACTGCTCACAAAGTAACAAGCAGTTACTGCAAGCAGTTCTCAAGTAAAAGCATATTTATATTCCTCAAAATTAAGTTTGATATCATGAGAACTTTTAACAAAAATGGTGGGATTTCAAAAATTATTGCTGTTTGAAACTGGAAAAAATTGGAAAAAAACTCCAAAGAAACAACTTCAAGAATTACATTGCTTCACTGAAAATTTTAAGATGAAAGTTATTACAAACCACTTGCTGCTTTTCTTTTGTCCATGTTTTCTTTGCTTGCCATTGTTTGGGTTTTTTTTTTCCCTGGGGGGTTGTGCTTTGTTTGGTTTGGTTTTTTTTGTTACAATACTTGCCAAAGAAAGAATTTAGACTAGTTCAGAAATAGGTTTGCTATGGCCCAGATACAACACTGCTCACCTGCTCAGAGGTTTTATAGAAGGCCACCGAGGCATTGACAAGTTTGAGCCTGTCCTCCATCTTCAGCATCAGCTGCTGCCAGTGCAGGGCCACCTTCTCAGCACACTCTCTGATAGCATCGGCGTCGTAATGTCCAGCCTGGAGCAACACTTCGGCTTTCTGCTGGACCTGCAGGGCACTCTGGTGTGTCTTCTGTAAGGAAGTGGCATGAAAGAGGGACTGTGTATGAGGGGAGGAAAGAGAGGTCGTACAGATGTGCCAGATGTATGGTAGAAAGGTGAGGCGAGGCGTGAGCATGGAGATGCGAGAGAGTGAAATATTTTCAGAGTTACCTTCAGTTAACAGTTACTTTCTGCAAAGCATTTTAGTTTCAATTATTCACACATATTTTCAACACAATATTAGAGCTTGGAACACATAAGCACTGCTAAGATGGGTTAGCTCCACTGATCAGCTACTGCTCCTTGGGCAACCTGGGGTGGGGGTCCTGGTGGGTCCATTTTGTCATCCCAGAGCAGGCAGCTGTTGTGCTGAGCTCTCACCCAGCCTCAGTGCTGATTGCATGCCACACAAAATCTGCAGATCCAAAAGTGAACCCTAACGAGGAGTTGGCAAACTATGGGCCTAATCACCTTAATTTGACTGTTGCCAGGCAATTTACCTGGCAGCAGCAGCTTTACTTGTGTGTGTAATTGTCCTGTCCACAGGATACAAAACATCTATCCCAGAAGATATGGAGATATCTTATTAAGGTGCATGAACTACATCACGAAGATACATTTCTGAAAGTCAGTTCACTCACATTAGAGACTAGACCATGCTACCTTTAAGGTCAGAACTGGGGAGGGTCAAACCATTTTCTCCACTGTTCCCCAATTTATTCAGTGGCCACTTTACAGGTAGGACTGAATTCCTGACTGCCCCATTCCTCAGCCTGTACCAGCTCCTCTCAGAATTACCGAGTGGTGGCTACACTTCCCTCTGTGGCCTGCTGAAAGTAAAATAGCCCCAGTCCCTTCAAAGCCTCTTGAGTAACTGTGTTCAGACATAGCTTAGTCCAGTATTTGATTTTAATCTTCTGAACAGAAGCTCTAAAATCTCTCAAAGACTCCTCTGTGCTACATCCCATTTGTAACTGCCACTGACAAATTCTCATGTGATACTTTTATGATCTAGTCCTTGAACCTGGAAAGAAGCTTGAAATCATCTGGTAATACACCGATGAATACTGCAATGCAGAGAAAGCTATTAGCAAAAAGTAAGCATTAATACTTGGCAGAAACACTTAGGAAGATGTTCAAGAACAACTGGTTAAATTTAATATCCAGCTGCTTTACTGATGTTAGAATTGTAATACTTGTTTTAAATACACTTTAAAGGATTTCAACTGAAAATCAATTCCACATCTAGAATGCCTTTAGAGAATGGCCTACCCTGTGCGCTTTGCTGATCTCTTCCCCATGTTGAGCTTTAAACATTTTAAATATTTAATCTAGTGTTTTCTCCCTTCGAAAACTTATTTTCCCCTTACTGTGGTGTAACCCTCTTCTCCCTCTGTGATTTGCATTTACCACCAAGTACAAGCACTTCCCTGATGGCAGCAAGCTGTGATAACTCAGCCAGTGGGTGTCTTGTTCCCTGCTGCTGTCTGGTGGTGGCTGCCAAGATGTGGTCAGCACAGCTTGGTACCAGCCAGCTCACACAGAATTGACAGAAAACTTCTTCCTTTTCCTTTAGGAGCTGCAGCAGCTACTCCTTCCTTACTGTGAGTGGAGCTGGATCCAAATAGATCATTAGCTAAGATTTAAACTCTATACTTACTAGCAACACTAGGATGTATATTGACTTATTCCAAGTTTACCAGGAGACATTCCCCCCTCCTTCTTCCCCCTGCCCCCCTTACAGAGTTAGGCATCTCTTCGAATTTCCATAGTTTCCTAGTTTAAAGTTTGGCTTAATTTTCAAATATATAGGGATTCTGCAGCTTGTTCTTTGCTTTGTAAGTAGCTAACAATTAACATAATTTGGGAAGCACATACACCTTGTTAAACAGGAATGGGAGAAAGCAATGGAACCTCTTTCTAGCAGCTGAAGTGAGCACACCCTGTGAGTGTAGGGTTTGTTTGTACTGACAGAGATACATGAAGTACTGAGCTTAACTATAAATATTGTAGTGCCCTACTCAGGGGAGTCAGCCCTCCACTACTTTCTCATTCAAAGGAAAGCAACTCAAATTAGGTGTTATTCCTCCTGCCAAGTCCTGGCCCTGTAAGTGAGGCAAATGGGTTGGCTCGCAACCAGTTTTCAAGGGCCAGGTCAAAGATGTGTTGTTACTCCAGAGCAAGAAGGGGCAAAAGCAGTTTAGCAGGCAATTCTGAAAAATTGCCTCTCTTGCCTCTTTGTCAAACTTATTTGAGGATGAGAGTTTGAATGAGTTTCTTTTCTGTTGTCCACAAAAGGAGAGCTGAATGAAAAAGATCTAGTGTGAGAGCATTATCCAGTAACAAAGATATTCATAAATGAATGCTGTGAAATGACCTGCAAACTGTGGATGTGGGAAGAAACTGACTTCACAAACTTTTCCCATTTCAGATCACTTTGTGAATTTTAATGTTATTTTGTTATCAAAGAAATTACCAGGAGATGTGTGAGTGTTATTTTCATGAATGGAAAGGCTGATATCTGACAGCAGAAAAATTAGCTGCAGGTTATAAATAATTATTTCACTATTAGCCTCTGGCTACATTATCAGTTTGACATAAGTTGATTTTCTAAAGTTTTTATTCCTCCCCTTCCTTCAAGCAAGCAATGATCGATGCTCAAGAGATAACCTTTTGTATGATGTTCACCTGGGAAGGAGAAACAAAGTTAACTCCTTGGTGTTACCTCTATGGCCAGCTGAAACTGCTCATGCTCTCGCTGGAGCTGCTCAGCTTCAGAGAGGGAGCTCGCATTGACAAGGCTTGCATTCAGCATTGATTCCCCATTCCTGATCCAGCCAAGCACCTGTAAAGAAAGGATATGCTTATGGAAAGGTTGCTTCAGTACTAAGGTTTATGTAGTCACATTTCAGAAAATGCTTCAGGCTGGGTGAACAACCATGTGTTTTGCCCACTGTGGTCTCATGTTGAATCTAGGAGCAGAAGGAAATCCTAGGATAAGAATGACCTATGTTTTTACATGGCAAAGATCTTACTGAAGAAGTTATTGCCTGAAGAATTAAACTTCTAAAGTATTTACATGGATATTTAGATAGCAAAGGGCACTCATTTCCAAGGTTTGATCACAAAAGTGAATGTTCCCCTCAAATACCTCACAGCAAAACCACAAATCATAATGAGGGAGATTTGAATTTAAACAAAGATCTCTCTCTCTTTTTCAAATTTCCAACTGGTATCATAGATGTTGCAACACCTTTCTGCTCCCCTTGTCTGTATTTCTTTTACACAAAAGTCAGAGCTTAGGGGTGAGGATGAAGAAGGCACAGATGGTTTCATCTAGCATAGAGTTAATATGCAGTTGGAGTTACACCTGCACGCAGAGCTAGGAATAAATATCAGGTCCTGCATTTTGTATTTAATCAAGAGGCTTTACTTCAGAGATGTTCAGATTATTTGTAGACATGCAAACCATGCTGTAATGACTGCAGAATCAAATCCTAAATATACATAATTAGTCTATCAAGCTTGTACTCACGCATTTAAGCAGCAGCATTTTCTGCCATTTTAAGATACATGTTTGGGAAATTAGCACCCAGAACACATGTGCAAGTTCTTTTCTGCGTTGTCTCAAAGCTTATTTTCTACCTGTGTAGGTGTAAAATTATTCCAGTAAAGCCAGAAAATTGCTGAATCCAATTCATGGGTGCACAGGAAATCCTGACTGCTCAGTCTCTGCCCTAAATATAGCTCATGATTTACAAAGTTCCAAAATTGACTTTGCTGCAGTATTCTACATAGTAATTTCCCTTTTGTGCTATCATTTTCACCAAGCGATCCATTAAATTTCCTGAAAGAAATACAAATTTTCTGTTACTTTGTTTTTGTATCCCTACATCATGTATCACCCTAGTTATAGCCATTCAATTCCCTGTAGGGTAGAAAAATGAGTTTTCCCTAGGAGAAAGAAAGGGGAGCCATTTCTACAAATTAGGGTCAACTACACATGTAGCTGACCCTAATTTGTAGAAAATTACATTCTGCTCAGTACAACAGTGTGGTAGATTTCATTTGTCAGCTTTCTTTCTTTCATCATCAGGTGTAATTGTTCCTGTGGGAAGTGCCACAAAGATTTACAGGAAAAGAAATCGAGTTATCATAGGACAATTATATTGGCTGGTATTTTCTATAATCCATCAGACTAGAAACCTACATTATTACCAACTACATGGTACCAAACACTGAAATTAATCAAAGGATCACTGTACCTGGGAAAGACTTGAAGTGAGGACATGATAATGCAAGACATGGTTTCACATTTTACACACCACAATACATCCTGACTTGGACAAGTTAGAGTGTAGAAAATACTATCTATGCTAAAAATATAGCATTTACACCTCTGTATCTGGTTTACAAGACCTGCTCACAAGCTGACTCCTACTCGTAAAGTGTTTAATACCTTGTCATTAAAATATGTAGGGAAGCTGCTAATACAGCACCAAGACCCTTCTATGATCATTTCCTGTATTAACAGATTCACCATTATCTGGCAACATGCTGTTGGGTCGACAGAAAAAGATGGCTTTAAACCGACATTTCCTACAAATTACAGATTTTATCAGCTTTGTAGAAGCACTGATTAAATAATTCTGTGGTTAAATAAATCTCCAAAGACTCTCTTAAAATGCCTAACTTTTTTTTTTTTTTTTTTTTTTTTTTTTTTATAGCAGAGAAGCAGAAATACTTTTACAGCATCTTATATAACAGCCACTTGACACTGGAGAACAGTTTCTCTGCAAGGAATGGGTTATTTACAGGGCAGCCACCACAGTTCTGAAACAACTCCCACTTTTGACTCCAATTTGCTTTAAAGAGGCTACACTCCTGTACAACACCTTGTCTTTAATTAAATAATAGAACCAAATTCTTCTAAAATTCATAATTTCTTCTCTGAAACTTTGCCATCTTCACTGAGCACAGAAGCAGATTCTCCAGGAAAAATAAACATTGAGGCACCCTTTGTGCAGCCATTCTTAAGGAATGAGAGCTCTGTATCATGCAGTACTTTTGTCTACTGTTTAGTTTAGTCCAAATGCCTTCCTTCATGTTTCTAAAAAAGACTTAAGGCCTTGCAATGGATACCTGTCAAGTTGGATGGGAAAAGATTTTTAAGTTTAAATGATAAAACAATGTAAGTGAATCTTTTACATCTCCAGACCCTTTATAGCTTCTTTGACAGGACTGTACCACACAGACACAGCCATCAGCAAGGACAACCTCTGGAAATTTTAGCCATGTTCAAAACTACATCAGGTTTCCGGAAGCTATTTGATGTTAGATTAGGAAAAAACAAATATATTCAGTGTCTCTCAAATGATTACTTCCCATCATCCTTTGGGCATATACATATGGAAGCAAATCTAATGCCAAACAGCAAAAGTAGATGGATAACAGGCACATCAAAAGGATTAAATATTCTTCAAAACAACCTGGAAAGCAAGTGTAGTGGGGCACTGTGAGGATATCTTGAAGAAAATTAGGTCAAGTTCAACACTTATCAAGAAAAAAAAAACAAACAAACCATACAAAGATAAAATAAGGGGACAGGGAAGCCAAACAGCTGCAGGCGCAGCATTAGAGTTTGTTTTCTTTAAACTGATCTCCACAAATCTATTCTGCTATTACTTTTATGTAAGCAGTCCAACCTCTGTAGTTTCTGTCAGAAATGAGTAGGATCCAAATGAGGGAAATCAGGCTTGGGCAGGATCTTCCTTAATAATAAAGAGTTTGTGAATTACTGATCTTTACTATTTCCACTCTAAAGCAGTTCACAGAACATCTAATTTGGAATCATTCTGCTTTAATGGTCCCAAACTTCAGTTCATTGTCTTGGCATTCAAACCCTTGGCGCATATGATATAAAGCAGAAATCTCTGGTAAATGAAACTTAAATAGATAGAGACAGTTAAAAGACTTTTTATTTCCATGAGCCATTATATCAAAATGCAAACACATGTACATGTAGCAGCCTTGACCAATTTTACTGTGTCAGCAGAACTTAACACAGCTACAGTAGGTGTCTTGCAGCAACCACATCTCACCCCACTCACAAAGAGCAAGAGCAATTTGGTAATGAGATCATCCATCGTCTCAGATGCACTAAAATTAAAGTGAAGGAAACCTGGACCAGATTGGAAATGAACTACAAGCCAAAATCAATATATTTCCCAATCCCACTAAATGGTTGGGAATATGACTCATCTACAGGAAACCAAATAGATAGGACACAAAAAAATTGTAACTGGCCTCTTCCTAAGGGAAACTGTAGCTGTGGTAATTTATAGGTTAACAAGCAAAGGAGCCCTTAGTATTCAGCTGAACAAATAAAATGTTTTTTTCACTATTGGTTTGCCGAAAGGTCACTTAGTAACGAGAGCTCACATGGTCCCAAGCTCCATCAAGGACATACTAATTAAAGACAGCTGTTCTCTCACAGTATTAGATAGCTCAGTCCTATAACTACTTCCTTTGGGTAGTTTTTGGGTCGTAAAATACTTAAGGCCCGGCAGATACTTGATAATAAGGTAGGTAACATGAAGTAGAACTGCAGAAAGTGCTGGACTGTCACTGTATGGTTCCAGGAGCAGCCACAGGCCTGACCCACTGCACTTCATCCTGGGCAAGTGGGCAACCTGCATCTTTAGCATTTCTACTACAGGTATAACCTCCTGTTTTCTGTCATAAAATGTCTCTACTTGATCATAAATCTATCACATAAAACTCCAAGCTTAGCTAAGCTCTGTGTAAGAAACTTGGAGAACCTATGGAAAAAAAAGGATACAATTCATAATCATATTACAGTGGTGATTATAAATATCACAGTCTTTCTTTTTTTCCAGAAGAAAGCCAAAGTACTCTACAGAGCTCTAGAACTTCATGAGGAGTTCATCTTCAATAATCACAAATGCAAAATGACTACATTTAAAAATAAAAACTTAGGATAGTTTTATGCTACTTTTAGGTTTTAGGTAGGGTTGCAAAATATTCACATCGTAACAGACTTTGAAAGAAAACGTATGCACTAGTGTAGGTGCTCCAGCTTCTAGCTTGAGTGTTGTCTGAGAATGAAGGATTTTTGTCCAGTGATGATGAAACAATTCAGGTAAAATATCACTTGACTATTCCCTCTTCAAAAGTGAATATTTATGATCATACATACTAAGGATTCAGCATACATATATACATATGTATGAATATTTATGTATATATATGTAGTAAACAAATAAGCAAATCTTTTCAATGAACACCTTGTAGTATTTGGGCACCTCTCCCACCCCCTCAGCCACTTGTACAGGTAAAATAGAAACCTCAATATTCCAGGTGTCTGAAAAGATGTTCTTGGTTCTCCTAATGAAACCAAGACCATTCCTTTGAAATCCAGACATACACTGCAGTGTGAAGCCACCTATGGGTTAGGACCAGGAAGTGGAGTGTCACCCTGTGCAGCAAAGGAAAACAAAGAAACATGAGGCATCCATATTAAATATTAGGGAAAACCAATGGAGGCAGAACATGACTGCCTACACTAGGATGAAAACTGAAAGAAAGGCAATGTAACAATACTGAGATGTCTAAACAAGACCTTGGATCTAAAGACCACAGCCAGAATTTTTTGAATCACCAGAAGATGTTAAAGATTCCTGCAGGTCAACAGTTGTATAGCAATAAGTGAAAAGGTGAAACTACTATAATTTCATACTTAGACCTCGCAGCTCAGTTTCCTTTGCTTTGGGCCAATTCTCCACCTCAGCTTAAGTCTGAGTCCCAAATCAAATAATTATATTCTCAGAACACTTGGAGTTTGATGCATTTTCTCCAGTTGAGAAGTTATTGGGTCAGTTCTGCGCAGACTCCCAATATCTATTCATGAAGCCAAAGGGCCACTCTGTAGCCTGTCAGCAAATCAAGTATTGTTAAGCAAAGAGGGATTAAGATTGTCCTCCTAAAGGTATGCTGCTTGGCAAAAGCTGGTTTAGCAGTTGCACGTATGTAATGGCTGAAAATCCACTTAAACTCCTTATGGGTGGTTAAAAGCTCTCACCTGCTTGACTTCAGCCTGTAGGTGCCGGAGCTGTAGGCACTGCTCTAACCTCTTGTGAGTTTGGTCAGCATTAAGCTCCAGCTCATGCTGTTTCTCATGAAGGAATTCCAGCAGTTCTTGAACCTGTGTTGCAAGATCAATGTCTTTTTCACAGATCAGCTCAATACCTGTAACATGCAGAGAGAGAGATATCATTGAAATTTCAATTTTGCATAAATGTGAACATCAAAATTTTTTGCCACCTAACACATTGATTTGCAACTATCTGAGTAATTATTTCTCATTATATTTTCTCACATGTAATATTTGGCTTTCCCAGTTTCCTACTCTGCCTCACTACATTTCTCCACAAAGTAGTGTTTCTCTGGTGATCATTGCTCATCTTGCCCATCAGCATCTGGCCAGTAGGACATGATTTAGACAGTCTTTCTCAGAAACTTGTATGAACATCAAATTTATAAAAAAGACAGAAAAAACCCTCCCTTTATTACAGTAATTCATTAACTTACACTTTAGAAATGTATGTTGAAAAAATTTTAGAAGAGGAAAGAGATGAAGATGAAAATACAAAAGTGAAATACAGGAAGTAAACTCTAGTCACCAGATCTACAGTAGTGTTACAAGTACAGAGATCTCCACAGCCCAAACTTTTTCTCCATCTGGACACAGAGGATCATTAAAAATGAATTAGTTTAAACCATCCTGTAGTTCAGAATTATTCCACAGACTGGCTTTTGTCCAGTCGTAACATATCAGAGAGAAAAGGTGGACAGGTACCACATTCCCTGCCCCTTGCATCCTGCATGAGATTGATAATCCCCTGGTCTCATTTCATAGCTGGCCCTGACTTGATCAGGAGATTGAAAGAGGGACCTTTTGAGGCCCTTCCTACCTCCTGAATTTTCTTATGACACTTTGAGCCTTGTGTATAGTCATTACAAGAAATACAACACAGAGCTTCACACCTTCCTTCTCGCTTACACCCATGTAATAACATTGCTGGGTATGTTACCAGTGCAATTGGGGAAGTCTGGCCTGGAGGAAATATGATGTCATCCCATGTTACTGTAATCCCTGTGACTATAAACTAATAAAGACCCAACTCTTCCCTCACTAAGGTCTATTGGAATTTTGCCATTGGCCTCAATGCAGGAAGGATCAGGAACCTAATATAAAAATAATCTAATTGCAGTAATGCTGAGAAAACACTGCACTTTTCTCCAAAGCCATTTGATTTCATGGAATAATATAAGAAATGTGTTAATTAGAAGCTGCTGAAGTAAAAACTTGGACACTTTAAAAAACCCATTTAGAAAGTTGTCTTGGTCTCCTCCTTTATCCTCCTCAGAGACTCATGACTGTCCTTCTCTCTCACAACCATATCTACAGAGGACAGTGTGCAAAATAAACATGACCTTATTACTAACCCTATCCCCTTTTGCTGGTTTCTGGTTTTATCAGAAAAAGCACATGGGAATGCAAATGATTGGCTTATTCCCTTTCCCAGCCAAAACAAAACAGTTCCTTCATTACCAAATAAAGTGGAATGGCCCCTGGCTTCCCATTTAAAACTGGAAATTTAATATGTGTTTCTATTCTTGGGAGTGAAGTTCCTTTCAATTGCCAGACACCAGGCATTGTTGCTACAATTAGCCTGCATATGGTTCTGTATCCTCGGGACATGACGGCTTTTTGTATGCTTGACTTCACTACACCTATTGGATATTAAATGCACGGTTTTCCTTCGTGCACACTCATCTGGTCTGGTTCTGAGTGCTAACTCATCAGCAGCAACCAGTGAACTGCCTGGGATGCTATCCAAGGGCAGCCTGCGCTCCCCATGATGAATGATCTGCCCTTTCCTGCTTGTCATATGTCATGCAGATTTATTCTACAGTGCCAGCACATGCGGTGAGAATGCTTATTCTTCTCAAGAATTGGTTTGCAAGATAGAAAGCTTTGTTTCCTGAATAATTTCATACATATTATCTTTACATTGTGCTTTGACAGCTTGAAAAGCACAGGTGACTTTCTGATAAACCGAACGTGGTTGCCATTTTCTTCTGATATCTCAAACAGTGCAGCAGATGTCAAGGGAACGATATTGAATTGAAAATATTTTTTAAAAAATACTACAGAAAAGAGTACTGAGCCACACTAACTGGCATCCTACAAAACATGCATTAGTGACACCTGAACTGTTCGCAATGTGAGATACAATTCAGTCAGAGGAAAGCTTTTTGACCTGTAAAAAACTGTTTTGAAACAGCTTTGAATCTGCTTCAGGCTGAAATATTAGAAGCCTGTGATAGCAGTTTATATTCTCTTCTTTGCAGTATAAACTATAGTTATAACTAACTATAAAGGATATCACAAACAAAATGTAATAGGTTTCCACTTCCCTTTTAAGCAATGCAATGCTGGGAGAAAAGGTGAACAATGTTAACCTGATGACCAGGAACCAAAACGGCTTTAAATTTTCCACATATCAGGTTGGGACTGAATAAATGTCCCCAACTTCAGCTTTACCGTGTTTCAGGCTTGACTTAGACAAATTGCTTCTAAGATATAAAAAGGGAGCTCTGTAAACCATGAGAGACTCCCAGCTGTAGGGCTCATTATGACAGTGATGCTGACAGTGCAAATGGACTTTAATAATCAAATAAGTTTGTATAATCAATTAAGCAGCTATTGCCTTTTGCAATCGGATATGTCTATCTCGTATTGGCCTCATAAGCCACCAGTGTGCTTGTAACAAACATGGACAGAGCCTTCCTAAATCTTCGTTCGTGAAGCCTAGCCATGATATGATATGATAACCAGCTATTAGAGTGTAACTCTTTTAATTCCTAGAATGAGAATTACTAAGTTGCATATGCTAAAAAAATTACATGACTGTGTCATCACCGCAGCTTGGACCAAAGTGCTAAATCACTACTAAAATATTATCCTAAACTTTCCATGGGAAATAGATTTCTCAGAAATGTCCAAGCTGTCACTTTTGAAAATGCCAGGACCCTTCAACATATAAAGTTAGGTACCCAAAAAAATCAATATCCATTTTTAAGAATATTTACCCACATATTTAGCTTTGCTATCAGCAGCAGAGAGCTACAATCAAACTGGAAAAATAGCAGATAGGTTTGTTGAAATAAAAAGAGCTGGCTCATTCAAAAGTCCAGTCTTGGTTAAGAATACTGTTATAATAGTCTCTAAATGCAAATAAGTTTAGTTAAAGACACAGATTTTAGTGAGATATGAAGACAATTTGCAAGTACTGCTAAATTTCAGAAAACACAACCTGACTTCCAGATCTTAGATATTCCCTAATAAAACCAAACATTTCTTTGAAAAATAATTATTCTGCTGGTGAAAACAGGCTAATCCAAAGCAGGCTCACTCACATGCACTGGAATAGTGGATGGAATCACAGGAATATAACCCTGAGCCATATGGAACTTAGGAAATACAGGACTTGTGCCGATGCCTGATGTGCACAGATGCCCTCAATATCCACAGAGTCTGAACCTTTGGATTTATTGCAACAACATGAGTATGTTCACAGGGATTTCCACACACTCCACAGCCCTGTAAGAATCACTGCTCCAGGTCTGCATCGGACATGCAAAAACTGTGGGCAAACATCCGAAACCTTCATTTTCTACCTCCATGAGACTTATGAGAAAAAAAGGCATCATGCATGGAAACACCTGGATGTGATTTTATCTGACAGACTTGCTGGCTTAAAGACCTCCAAGCCAAATGACAGAGTGATCAAAATTGAATCAGTTTCCTGTGTGACATGTTAAAAAGAATAAAGCTCAAAGAGATTTATAGGGAAAGAAAGAAACTTGGTCAATTAAGGGTGACTGGTTAGGTAGAATGGCTCTGGAAAATCACATTTTTTCTGGCTTTATCTTCTATAGCTACAGCTGAGTTTTGATGGTAGCAATGGTGACAGTGTACAATAGGAAGCAGCAAGAGCAGCTGATTTCCCAGGACTCCTGCAAGTTTGCAGCTCCGGCAGTTAAGAACAATCATCCCTTACCTTATACACTGAATGACTGTGATAAAGGATTCAGAAAGAGGGAGTAAAATCAAACCACTTTTTTTATGAAGTATAACTGTCCTTTATTGAAGTAAGAAACAGTAGGCTCCCACATACCATCTCTCTCCCTTATTTTGCCATTCTCCCAGCATTTAGCATTCCATGCACGGCAGACATTACCATTATCTTTGATTAACTACAGTTACGCTACTTCCTATGGGGCTTCTGCTTCCTTGCCTTTGGGAGCAGTGGATTTTTATTGGGTAGGCTTCATAGAAAGTGATCTTAGATAATCTTACAAAAACATTTTACAAGTCACTTCATTTAGTTTCTAATCTTTTGTCTACAATCCAAAAGAATTTGTTTCTAATTTCTTGAAAGACACAGAATTTACTTATTTTCTATTTTCTAAAAAATCTGTCACTGAAACTTCTGGCTTTGTTGTGGATCATATTCTTTACCTCCCACAGATTCTTACTTGTATGGCTCTTCCACGATTAAAAACAAACAATCAAAAAAGCACAAGCATCTGAACCAATCTATTAGAACAAGTTTTCTGTCCTAGAAAGCAAGGAAGCTGAAGCACAGGGCCAGACATCGTGTGGGCAGATCTCAGAGAAGCTCACACACACGGTTCACACAAAGCACCGGATTGTCTCGTTCACAACATACTCTTGTAGCAGTCCTTAAGCCTCTGCTGAGTTCAGCTTGCCAAATCAGGCTGAGTACTGCCAGATTTTTTTAAATGTAGGTGCTTAGAGGTAAAATGTTTGCCAAAGAATAAAAACTTCTTATTTCAAAAGTGCAGATTGAGAGGGAAAGAACTGCTCTTGCTTTGCACCCTTTCCAGACATTTAAGAAGGTTAAAGCACTTCACAAGTAACATTCACTTCTGGGCTTTACGCAGTGATTAATCTGAATTACGATATTCCTTTTCCAAACGCAAAATGCAAGGATACAAAAATCCTGATTCATATGATGTATTAGAAAATAGGATCCTACTGCTGAAAAGCAGAGTAAAAGTATCAGACAGACTCCCTATCAAAATGAATCAAGTCTTTCATTTAAGAGCACATACCAAAGGGTTTTTTTTTAACATCCAAGTTGCTACCTTTAAATTTCAAGTGCACTCTGAAAAGGAAAATTCCAGTATGGTTTATCATGTTCCCTTTTTATACAAAATAATTCCAAGTAGAACTGGCTGGAAACAAGAGTTCCATTTCATGACTGGTTTGAAGGCTCTCATATTTGGATTCTTTCCCAGAGGACTCTTGCAAAACTAGTTTCTTTCTCCCCTCACTCCTCTCTCTTTCTGTTGGGCATGTCTGCACCCTGAAATGTGGCACAGGGAACAGGTACTCAGGTCTGTGGAGAAGGAAGCCAGCACATCTGGTCAGTCAATAAAGTCCAGCTGCAGGAAGGTTAACAAGCTTAGGAGTCTGGAACAACTAGACTTCATCCAGACCTGAGGTGTGACTGCCCAGCTCAAGGATCTGTAACTCGTGATTCTGCAGTGCTCGTTTCTGAGCTGGTGCAATGACAAAGGCCTACCACAGCAAGTTGTCTCGCCCTCCCCTCTCCATCCACTTTGGAGTCAATCACAAACTCCATCCTGCAGTTGTGAAAATTTCTGAATGAAACTTGAAATTTAGCTTCATTTCCTCCATGAGTTTCAGTCTCAAAGAAGCAGCAGTTAACATATAATCCTGAATCCAGTAATTACCAAAACTTCTGAAACAATTCAAAAGTGTGGTGTGGAGAAACAGGTATTGCTCATAGTTATGTTAAAAGCTGACGTATTTAATACGTATTGGGCTATTTTCGTTTGAAACATATTTTGTAGGAGGTGGGTTTTTTTCTTGTTTTTGCTTTGGGTGTGTTTTTTGGTTTTTTTCCCCCCCCATGTAAAATAGAGATCAAATTGTCCTGCTCACCTGAAGCCTGGACCTCCATGATGTACTGGTGTAAATCTTGCCCTTGCTGGATGACTTCAAAGGTCATGTTGTTCATGGCCAACTTGCGCTCAGTGTGACGCTGCAGTCGCTGCTCAGCCAGAGTGAGGTCTTCAGTATTGAAATCATTCATTTGCCTCAGCAGATCTTCATTCCAGGCATCTAACTCTGCTGTAACCTTCATGGGCAGAAGACAGACACCTTATTCGCTCAAGATCAATGAAATATCTTGAACTGTGTTTGGATCAGAAAGTACTTCACATTTTGACTCTGATCCAGAAACATTCAAACCACAGCCTCAGTACACTCCAGATCCTGCCCACTTAATGGTCACACTTCACATTTTTCTTAAACCAGGATCCATAACACGATTATCAGCCCAACAAGAATTTGGACACCTCCTCTTTCCCTTACACTTTTCAAAGGGCACGGGAAGAGAAGACCCACTATATTTGCATGGATGATAGAGAGAATGTTTCTGAATAAATTAAAATTTAAATGAAAAAATAATGCTTGCATAATTGCAAACCACATAATCCCCAAATGGCCTGAATGTTTCTACAAACATTTTGCAACACACTATTTGTTACATATCACAGATGTAACACACAACACAGAAACATCACACTCAAGAGCCAGGAGATCCACCAGTAAATTCAGGAATGGTACCTGGTTGTAACCAAAGACCTATATAAGCTGCCAATAACTCATGGGAACATGTAAAATCTTCTGTTGCTTTCTCTGCTTCCTAATTGTGACACAAAGTCTGATAATTTTAGCAGTCCATTTATTGTACTTTCTGTTTTACCTCTTAGTCCACAAGCAGCCAACTGGTATCAAAGTCCTTCTCCCTTTTTGGCCTCTACAATTAAAGCAAGATTCAGCAGCCAGCCAAACATCAGTCTCACCTCAACCTAGATTCTGCTACTGCAGGCTAAAAAGAGGGAATATGCTAGTGACTATGAATGAGAGATGGGGGAAAAGAGAAATGGGAATTACATCAAGCACATAGGTACTGTGCAGAATACAATTTTTAAAAGCATTTAAAATTATTAAATAAATGCCTCAATTTTGATTAATAGGTTAATTCCTCATACCTAGTTTTAACTCTTCTGAATCTAGCTATCTACATTCCCACTTGTGCATTATGATGCAGTGAAAAGTTGTTTCTCACTTAAAATGCTCTTCAGTGCCTGTGTGCAGTGAGACGCTTAACTTCCTAAGTAGCCAAGACTCAAAAATTTCCACTCAGTTTTCCTTTCCAGAAAACATATATTATATCCAATACAGGTTTAGGAAGATAAACCAAATAGACCAGTTCTCAGCCTTTCTCATGTTAGAATGGACAGTAGTACAGTTTTGTATTAGGAGTAAAAAAAACCAGTTTTTATGCTCTTTTTTTTTGAGAGAAGCAGAAAAGCAGACTCAATCAAGAACCTGGGACCTCAGCTGCAGGGTGAAAGGCAGAGCATGGGTATCCTGAGGGGCTTCTATTTTTCTTGAGCTTGTTCTTTTGCCCATTCCACTCAATTACCTTTAAATAATAGCTATCTCTACACTGTCTTTGGCCCCATTCCTGATTCCAGCAGCCTCTGATTCATTCACATATCACAGCTGGAGTCCCCAGACAGCGGAGATTACTGGCAGATTTAACAGTTATGAAGAAATGTTTTGGAGAAGAGTTTTACTAGATACATTTGCACTTAGAGACAAATGCTCAGCTAACAGTAATCAGAACTGAGGTGATCTTGACCTCGTTTCAAACTAGAAACAGCAGAATGAATTTAGAATGAGAGCAGGTTCCTACAGTCATGACAGTAACACTTAAAGTTCAATGAAAAGCCCTTTCTGTTCTTTCTAATGGAAAAGCACGTGACACAACTGAATCAGAACTTTATTTGTTATGAGCTGTTAAAAATATTGTCTGTTTGAATTCATTGCATGGATTGTCAGGCTGCTAACATATCATTATTTGAAATTTTGCAAGGATTCACAAAGTACTTCCCAATTTCCTGTGACAGTCTTATATACGTGCACTCAAGACATCTAAAACCATTTATAAGTGACAGTAACAGAAAAGATTAAAACAATCAAATAATGTGTTACATGAGTTTGCTCTGAGAGCCGTGACTTTATGATTGAGAGTTTCTGGACAAAACAAAATCTCTCCATCCCATTTACTTCTATGGACATCAAATCCAGGGCAGAAAAATGCAAATCTTTTGTAGGGTTGAACTGTCAGGGGAGTTAATGACGGACGTAAGAAGGAATCAGCAGAAGTTTGACAAGTATGCTGAGATCTAATACTTCCTGCGTAAACCTCTCCACTGTGGTGCTGTTTTTCTTAGTAACTCATCCACTTGGCTGTGGAAGGGGCACTGATCAGCATTGCTCTTATCGTTAAATCTACAATCATTTCCATTTGAGCATGGGGAGATGGCTGTTCCTGACTGCACTGGTTTTTGTCCCTCAGGCCTGTGTCCAAGACATGTCTGTAGCAGAGAAGCACCTACACTCAGGAGAAGGTTTGCTCCCAGAAAACCAGTGCTGCTCATCCTCGTGACGGCAAGCAGCTCCCACCAGGCTCTGCACACAGAAGGAGATGCTCCTGAATATCTACCTGTCCCTTGTAGATAGTGGAGCAAAGAGGGGTTTTGTTCCATTATCAACACTTCCCAGATCAAATGAGTGGTTCCAAATAAAGAGGGAAGGACAGTACAGGCAGCGATGACACAAGCTGATAAATTATGCGAGATGGAAGGCCAGCTCCGTGTTACATTGTCAGGACTGGGAACAGAGGCTAAGCCTGCACCTGAGCAGCTCTGGACAGTTGGACAGGTCCAGCAGGGTTTGCTGCCCCAGTGCCAGCCCTACTAGGGCCAAGAGCACAGTGGAGGTCAGAAGTAAGGAAGGGGGGAAGTAGCCTTTGAGTGGGGGCTGATGAAGGAGTGCCAATCATCCCATGTGCTGGGTTAGGGGAAGAGAGGAAGGGATCAGGCACAGCAAGAGGTGGAACATCACTGAATCTCTCAGGCTAAGCATGTACAGGAAGGCTGGGTACATTGCTCTGAGTAACAGACTAACAGATGGCTAGAAGGGAATCTAAAGCACACTCAGGCAAGAAGCAATACCAGAGCTGTGATAACAACACAGGTTTCCTGAATCCCAATCTGGTGCCCTATCCCACAGACCATGCTACTTTGCATATCTCATTAAGACATTTCCTTTTCTGTCTGTACAGCCAGTGCCTCAAAATCCCAGCATTTTCTGTACTTCAAACTGGACCATTTGGAAATATTCCCAGAGTGTGAATTTACTGGTTTGACTTGGGTATAGGGAAAATGATTTGTTTTTCTTCAGGAAGGAGCTGTAATTAGGCAGCTCTGTTAACTACAGATGTATATTTTTCAAGTCTAAAAAATGGATGCTTTCACAGATTGGTCAGGCCTTGATATCTGTGATAAAATTTGGACTGCATCAAACAAAAGTGTCCTGAACTGTGGTAAGACTGCACTGAGCCTGTGTCAGAATTATTTCGTAAATGAAGCTCACTTGGCCATGAACTTGTTTTATTCCCTTTTGACACAGAAGAATGGCTGATCAGAGTTTACTCTGATTATCTGCTAGATTTTTGGTGGCAGGAACTGACAGCACTTATGTTTACTCACTTTACTTCCCAGTGTTTGTGATCCTAAATAGACCTCAGCAACCTCACATGCCGTGAGAGAAGAGAAGCCCTGATGTAATAGAAGTCCTGAGCTCTGCTCTGCTCTGGCTTGAGAAAGAAATTGTACCAAAGCAGAAGGGTCACATGTACAGCAACAGCAGCAGTGCACAGGTCTACACTAGTACAAGCAGCAGACTTATCCTCCCGTTCCCACACTGTTCCAAGGAAAGCTGCACACTTATCAGTCACACTTCATCTGACTCCTTGGAAGAAGCCACGCTCCTTCTTTGTGGGTCATATAAGCTTGGGGCCAAGAAACAGGCCTTCCTTACTAAAGGAAAGTAAAATGACCTGAGAATACAAATGAAAGACAAAGACATGACAAAGCAGTTGATTACAATGAGCCTAGGAAGCACATTTCTTCCTTCTTCACCTGAAACAGATGCTCCTGCTGCAATGATAATGGGAGGAGCAATTTTGGTAGTGAACCCAATCTAGTGTTGAGTTACCTGAGATATCCTTATCAGGGAATGGAGGAAGCAGGTGAGCAAATACTGGTTTTGTGTCAGCTCCATGTTACTATCACAGAGCTATAATGGATATACAGACTATGTCAGCCAGGTCTGCTTTTCATGCAGACACAGCGACCACAGTCTAGACCACATTCTCTTTAGGCAGAAATCCTCCTAAAGTAGCAACTTAATATATCCAAAATCCCACTGTGGCAATACTGCTGCATTTGCTGCTTCCCATATTTATCATGTTGCAATACCAGCAGGAAATGTGACCAAATGGAGAGAGACATGTTCACCTTCAACCCTGGAGCAGAGTGACAGGTATAGAGAAGAGGTACACAGGTGAAAAGCAGTAAGAACAGGAGTAACCCAGGCATCTCATGCCTACATTGCAGCTTGCTTGTGAATTAGGCCAAAGAGCCTGCCAGAGCTGCTGCAGCTGCTGTGCAAGCAATTGTATGTCTCAAATAATTTCTTATCTAAATCCTTAGGTATATTTTTTTTTATGCTGCTGCTGAGATTTTCTACAAAATGGTGCTGCTGAGCCTTGAATGCTGCTTGCTTGGCCTTAATTCAGTGTTTGACACCCAAAGTCATCTTGTTTAATGCCAACCAGAAAATTTTGTTTGCCAATTGAAGGAGGTAGAGAGGGGAAATGAGGAATCCAGTGATAGAAAATAAATGCTATATGGTGAATGAATCACATAGGAACTGATATTCCAAAGTATGGGCTGAGGAAGGGCATATGAGGAGGAGGGGAAGAAAGTTCTCTCCTGGGAGCAGAAGCTATCAACACAGAGTGGGCTTGCAAGAGGGATCTGAAAAGGAGTAAAGATACCTGGGAAGAACAAGCAAATGTAGAAGGCAGATTGCAAGAAAAATGATGGTGCAAGTAGGAAGAGAAGCAAAGGCAAGAAGAGTGGGTAAAACAGAGATGAGACAGGACAGGAAGAACAGTCACACAGGCACAGTGCAGATCTGTATAGATGAGGGAAT